CAAGTGCTATTGTGCTTCTGAAGCCTCACAATGCAGCCATTGTTATGGTCTAAGAATCTTTGGGGCACTCTGCCTCTTGCTCCCAGGCCAGCTCATTTTAGTTTTCTTCCAAAGCCTGGGCTATAAAATAATAGCATATATATTAATTATAGGTTTTCTAACCGCCTTTTCAAAAGACACTGCTTTGTTTCTTTTCAACCTCAGAAGGTAGAAAATACAGGCTACCAGAATGGCTTTTATTTTACAGCCTTCTGCAAGTGACTCTGTAGCACCTTCAGGTTTCTGATTCTGTCAGTATGGTACTGATTGTGTCCTTGTGACATATTTCTGCTTTTGTCAGTACTGGATTAATGGTGTCTCTGTGGAAATGTTTATGATAGTGTCTTTACACTACTGTCCTCTGCTTGTGTCAGCAAGATACTAGCTATGCTTTTGTGGATGTTTCTGGCTGTGTCAGTGTGGTACGGATAAGGTTGATGTGGACATTTTTGTGGTTGTTTCAGTATGTTAATTATGTTGTATCTGTGGACATGTTTGGTCTTGTGACTGTGTGGTTATAATATTGCATGTGCTGGTAAGTATAATTTTGTGCCATGTGTGTGTGTTAATGGGGGGCATGACATTGCTGACCTAAGGGAGAAAAAAGTGTAAGTCTGTCCAAGTACAGAAGTGCATATATGGAGACCCAGCATGAGGAGGGTTCCACCTTCCAAGTCTTACTCCCAGCCTAAGCCATACCATGCTGTAACCCCCTTACCTGTTGCCACATTTGACCTCATCCAGACACGTGAAGCAATGTTTGCCACAATACAGCTTTCAGGAGTGCCTTTTTGTTTTTGACTCCATATTGTCAAGTCAGCATTTAGAAGATCGTTATACCATATAATTCAATCCTCTGCATTCCTGTCAATAGCAAACCAAATCACAGCTGGCCCCATAATTATCCTTGGCACACTATCACTACTATTAGACCATAACTCTCATTTTGACATGGTGTGCTGTAGTTGTCTACTACCCCTCACCCTACCACAGTCTCAACCTTACCAATTTTGAAAAGTTCCCAAGTATATGTATAATATGCTATAGTGTTGTAATATTGTTTTATGGGATCATAATATAATTTACCTTGCATAATGTGTGGCCCAGTTTTCACACCCACTCACAGTAATCCACAACCATTTCTTGCACTGAAGTGCTACACTCCATTTCCTCTGATGAGCCCCAGTGTCCCAGTCTACTCCTGTATGTAAGAAATATATAAAATAATAAAACAGATGCGGATATGGCCATGATGAAGCCTCCTTGTATTATTGTCTGCACGAGAATACTATCAGTGAGCTTGCTCCTGCTATGAGCAGGAGATATCCTAAACCCCTGAATCACACAAATAATGTGTTAACTTGCCATTTACATTCATTATGAATGCATTAGAAGTATGTTTCATGTTAAATATAGTAAATGCCTAACATCTGAACCTCCCCAAATTCCTTGGCCTCTGTGTATTACAGTAATTCTTTGGCACAGTCTAATAGAGTTTCCCTACAGATGATATTACTATAATCCTCTACTTTACTTTCATTAACCTGCTGGCAGTAGAAGTTATTTTTCCACTTAGCAGTCAAGCAGGTACAGCCAGACTTATGTAGAAGCAACAAGCGGTTGGAGAGATAGACACAGCACTTGTTCTTCATACACAAGTCTTTTTTAGAATATCCATATGTCTTTGATCTAAGAACTGAAGGAACTTAATTATTACCTGTTTGGTATAAATAGCTTTATAATATTGGGCTGTATCTGTACTATAAGCCAGTGAGCAGTTCATACATTTGGCTACAGTGGCATAAAGGAGTGATTTGTATGGCTTGGCACACTATCTTGAGATAAGCAATAAACTCCATATTTTTTGCATTTGTGCTGGAAAGGAGACAAGCAAATACCTTCTTTTTTTGAAAAGGCTCTATTGTGCTTATCATTACCACATTGCCAGCTTATTCTAAAGAACATCATTAAAGTGACTGTAAAGTTATACATTTTGTTTTTTTTTTAAATAACAAACAGGTCTATATTTACCTGCTTTGTGCAAGGAAATTGCACACAGTGGCCTTGAACTTCCCCTTCTTTGATGCCCCACTGGCAGTCCTGGCTCCTTCTCTTTTCGATGTGCCACAATAGGGAGCAGCTTCCTATTGTAGCACACCTGCATACTCGATCCTGACCCCCGCTGTCTGTGTTAATTGACACAGACAGTGCTGCTCAGCCCTGCCCCCTGTTCACTCTTTACATGATTTTACCAACAGCAGTGGGAACTAATGGCTCCCTCTGCTCTCAGCAAAGCCTGTGAGAGTGGAGAGAAGAGAAGAAAGCCACTGCATACGAACACTGCTCTGGATCGAGTGAGTACTCAGGTAAGTATAAAGGGGTGGGGGGGGGGCGATAATTTAACCTAAACATTTTTGCCTTAATGCAAGGAATGTATTAAAGTGTTACTAACTTACAGGGCCTTACATTCACTATATCTGGTCTCCCACAGTACACAGAACATGGAAATACAACTATTTTAGTAAATATAAACTGGTAAATACCTTTTCTCTTTAACAGTTGGAGCAGTCTTGGGACTTCTATCAGTGTCCAGCAGAGCACTGGGTACAGCTTGTAGGAGGAGTTTTCATTCTCCTCTAGGAGGATGCAGGACCTCTGACCCTCTTTCTGGACAGTGCAGATTGGCTCTGTGCTGCTCATATGCACTCTCCCAAGAAAACAAACTCTAGATATTTGGTAGACACTGGAAGAAGGGGAGGATCAGAGAAGAGAGGATCAGACATCCTTTTTACTCAATGTAAAGGATTAACCCCATAGGTTCCACAGTGAGTATAACAAGCATGCTTTACTGCATATACAGACAGATTTTATTGTTGTGGGTTAAGTAACACTTTAAGGTAAAAAATGTTTAGGCTATACAACCACTGTAAGGACATAAAGGTCTCCAAGACTCCTGCCACAGCAGATCATTGTATGCCCTTACAAAAATCACAAAAATGCATGCCGCTTTTGCAAAAGTAGCTTAACTTAGTAAAATATTTTAGACTATTGGGAGAATGGTGGAACAATAGATGAATTTGCAATGGGAAAAGTACAAGCTTAAGGCAGAACTGAATCTGCTTTATTACTTTCATATTCAGAATTTCATGTTCTTCTACTGCATTACTGGTTGGCCTTTAGGAGGCAATCAAAGGGTTAACTGTGTGCCTAACAAGTGTAATGTGTGTAATATGTGCTGCTTTTACAAATAAATCTGGCTGTTTTTTCTCCCTGGTTTGCAGGGAGCAGAAACAGCCAGATTGGTGCTCTGTGTACAGAGTCCTGTGTGTTTGTACAAAAAGGACTCTGTGTTGTGATTGGACACAGCCGATAAGCAGGTTTCAGCCATAAATTATTGGAAGACATCTGCTGACAAAATTGCATGGTGTCTAACCGCAGTGTGGGTCAGCAGGGAACGCACATGTCCCAAACCCGGAAGCAAGCTCACAATGTTTATTTACGTTGCCAAGCCTGCGGTTGTCACCCATTCACAGTAAATATACTGTGACCAGGCGGCAAGTGGTTAAGATTCACTTTATGTCATATTGTGAAATGATGCCACAAATAAAAAAAAAACATTTTATATTGTTTTAATTTATTGCCCAGGTTTAAGTGGCTGTTTAGCAAATTGGATCATTCACTTGATTTGTTATTTCTTAGACACCAGTGACGAAATACAATGTCTAAACCAGAATTCTCAGCAGTAGTGCTGTACCATTACTAAGAATGAAGTGACCCTGTCAGGTTACAAAATGATCATGATCAAAGGTTTCTGTAATACAAGTTGTTTTTATACTTCTCTCCGGCATCCTGTGTCTCCTACCTTCCACCTGTTGCAGGGATCTTTGATCTTGATTTTGTTTGTAACCTGACAGGGCTTTAAATAGTCTCTTCCAAATTCAAAGGCTTCACCACAATGTAGAGCAAACAACCTGGGATTCAACTAGAGAAAATGACATTTGTATTACTGTAGGATTTTGTGGAAGGAGGCAGAGACCCAAACTGCTACAAAGAAATATTTCCAATAGCATATCTATGAGATATTCAGCTTGCGCCAATCTATTGCTGAAATGTGTTTTGGGTGAGGATGACCTTTCAGGCTACTCTGCCTGAACTTGTGGTTACAAATTTAAATATCAGAACTGACCTTAAGCTGGCCATACACTGATAGATTTAGCCCTTAGGCGAAATTAAAACAAAATCTAACAGATTTCTCCATCCACTCAATACAGCGCTGATGAACAGATCTCTGCTGTGGCTATTGTATTTTGACAGCTGGCCCCAACAGCTATCAAAATACCTGAACAGTGCCGCATTGAATTGGGTGCAGACACTATTTTGTTGACAATTTTCTGCCCAGCTCCTCTGAATTTTCAGTCGAAGGATGACATGCAGGGATGGCCACCCACTAAGCAAATTTCAACTGTTTGATTGGGACAAAGCCAAAATTTGCATAGCGTATGGCCAGGTGTAGTCTCAAGAGCTTATTGATATTTGGTCTTCTTAACGCTGAAGTTTAATCTGCTTATATTTGGCTATCCTTCCCTGGTTCTACCTTCCTCCCCTCATCAGCATACTGGTAAACATTTTTAAATAAAACCATTTGGTTTCCATTGCATAATTTATTTTGGACCCACTGATGATCAGACCGTGAGATGTTCAGTGTGCAGTGAAAGCAACTAACCGTTTTCTGTATAGGGGAGATGTCTGTACAATTGTGCAAGACTGAAGGTAAATAAATGTATGAGAGTATAGTAGTTTAAGCTAGTGGTATATCGTGAGTTGTCTATTTGCCATTCCAATTTTCCACACTACAAAGGTAGATATTAACACTGAAGAAACTGTAAGCATGATCCCATAAATAAACTGTATCCTGTTAATTGCATCACCAAGTGTTAGAATCAATGTTTGAAATTTTGTAGGCCTACAAAACTCAACTCATGAAGCAAAAGCAGGTGAGAAAATATGCATGGTACCACTGCTGCCACTGCATGACTCCTGCATGATGCATACCATACACACAGAATGTTAGTATGCTTCTGTTTTGTGTGCATGTACATTTCTAATGACATAAACAGGAAAACCATCAAGATAAGATATTGCCATTTCCCTATTGCAGAATAATGTAATTAGAAGGGGTATATCCTTGCTTAGTCATGAGAGTCAAGATAGGCCCTGGTTTACTATACCCCCTACATCTATAGCAAATATCTGAGAAATATTGCACATTATTGCTGAGTTTGTATGTGGTGTCACTGGTAGCCTGCCCATACTGGAACGTGCTCAGACTGTAGATTCAAATAAGAACAGAGGTCATCACATCCCACCTGTATTGTTGTCATTTACCTATTTCCTTCTCATCCACACTTGTTCTGTTATACCAGTGTCTTTTAGCTTGGCACAAAGTACTGTATCATGCATTTGTAATTAAATTTTCCTTCAGATCTGTGAAATGCACACTGAAAATGTTTAAAAGTGCCGTGGTGGGTAGTTCTTTAGAAATGTAGATTTGTGCTTTTTTACTCTATCACTTTGGTTTATATGGGGTATTGCAAGTTTTATTTTTAACCATTATTGTATATTTACTGGGTTAATTAGCCTTGTAATTACAGTATATTATTAATTGTAGCAAATAATTAAAACACCAGGAAAACGCATGATGTCACACTCTGACACAAAGGTTGTCACCAGATTATACAGTCCTTAAGATTTGAATTTTGGCTGCTCTGTTAGTAGCAAACTTTTGAGATATACTCACAATACATTTGTATATCTTTTAGCTGAAAAACAAATTCATGAAAAAATTGCCAAGAGATGCTGAAGCTTCAAATGTACTTGTTGGAGAGGTCGACTTCCTAGAGAATCCCTTCATTGCTTTTGTCCGACTAAAGGATGCAGTGATGTTTGGTGCCCTCACAGAAGTTCCTGTACCAACACGGTAAGACATGGTTTGTTTTCTATTGCTACGAGGAGTAAGAGATCTTCTTATGTAGGTTTATACTAATATACTTGGTTCTTGATATGGAGTCAGTCATATCTTTTTGGAGCAGTGACCCCAATCAGTCAGAAACTTCTACCTCACCTTCCTTTGAACAGGAAATACAAAACCTGTACATTTTCAGGCTATCAGAAGCTCCTATTATGCCAGTATAGTTTGGCATTCATGGGGCTACAATTGTTGACTTGATTTTGGACAAGCACACCCCTGGGCTGAACTGGAATATGCATACATCCTCTGAAGCTTTTGGGCGTCTGAACTGCAAATGCTTGTTTTGGGTCAGTGACTCACTATGTGAGAGAATTAAAAAGAAATCCCTGGAAACTGCATCTTTTAATGCAAGGCAGCTGCCCCCATATTGCTTTCCTGACAGGTTCCATTTAAAGCCTTCCCATCAATCCATATAAATTCATTGGATGTGATTGAGAACATGGTTGACTCATTCTTGTCACAGTCCCCTAATGTGTGTATGCTTACACAAAATATAACTATGGCCAAAACTTTTTTGGTCATACTTTTCTTGTGGGTCACAGGAGTAACCTTACTTTCGTTCTCCTCTGACCCAAAGTCAGGCTATTGCCTGCTAAAAGCTGATGTAGCAGATCCGCTCCAGGCTCTGCAAGGATCCTGGTCATATTGATGGGATCCATCCAACTGCCTGCTTGGCAGCTGGCTCTGCCTCTCAGCTGGAGCCAGCCGCTCCCACCCTCTCCCCAGCCCAGCGCTCCAGTGAGAGCTGGAGGAGCACAGCAAAGAGTGGCGACTAACAGTCACTGATCTCCTCTCCAGGCAGACAGAGCGGAGCAATCAGCAGTCCTGTGCTCAGTCCTAGAGCCATCATGAGACAGCAGCAGTATCACATTGATGCTGTAGCATAGAGGTGAGTTTGTAGGTTTTTGTTTTTTTTAACTCATAGTTCTCCTTTTAGGCGGAAACACATATGGTCCATCAACCAAAGCAATCAACAGATGCAGCTAATTCTGACAAAAATTGCCCACTGGAACCGAAGCTTATAAACAATCAAAATCCAATTTTGACAGATATCGACCACCGAATGTTGATCAGCTGTGGCAAAGTTTTATTAATTGCTTTGTGTCAATTGTATAAAACATAAATAATCCTCTTCCATTTAAAAAAACAGTTTGTGATTGGTATTAGTGTAGAAATTTAATCAAAATCAACAACCCCCCTCCCTTTCTGTGATCACCTCAAATAATTTGGAAATGATAATTAGCAAGGTCTCCCCCTCTAGATCAGTGTTAACAATTGACATGCCATAGTCTGATGTACAATTCATGCGTTCCATTTGTTTTGCATCATCTCATTCACAAAATTTACTATAATTTCCAACATGTATGGCCACCTATAAAGGCACTTTAGAAATCTCTTTAGTTGTGTTGAAAGCACAATTAGTGTGTAATCCTGCAGTTGCATGCATTAGGATAAAACCCTAAAGTACACCTGCTACCGACTGTCATCTGCAGAGTTAGTGGGGTAAATAAATCATGCCAGTACAGTCCGTCTGCCCTTTAGGGGCCTTCTCCTTTTGGATAATGAACATTATGCTTGAATGTGAGATTATTAGACTATCAGTCTCTTACTCTTAGGGCAATTAGCAAACTGATACTTTGTCCTAGTACAGGCCATTACTCCACTGTCAGGTTCTATTTAACTACAATATCCATCTAGGAAGGAGGATAGGCTAAAGCAAGTAACATCACTTGCTATTTCGCCTAGTACTGTTGATGGGCATTTTCTTTTTCTTTCTTCCTTTTTGATGTAGCTTTTCTCCAGGGCATTCAATGAGATAATGTGGAATTTAAACACTGACAGATATAATCATTACAATAATAACAAGAAAACTAAAGTGCTATGAAGCACGATACTAATGGAAATAGAGCAGTGCATTTTTTTTGTTCTTATTTTTTATTCTAAAATCCATTATCTGTTTGTTGTTTTTTAGCACCAAGTTTTATCTGCAATTTAACAATTCAATTAAATTTACATTTGTAAGAAATGTGGCGCCATTTGCAGTATCTGAATCCGGTGAAAATCCAATATGAAAATCCCAGGAGAGCAGTCTATTTAGTGGAAAGCCCCAGCATTCTGAAAAGAAGCCATTTGTGTAAACCTATAAAGATCTCATCTGTTGTTATAAATACCTACTGAAAGCCAAATGGCATGCTACCCCATATCATGCCTATTTAATGAGATGTACAGTTTGAAAAAAATGATTTCTTGCAAATACAGTATGCTACCTGTGCTGTAATTGTACAGTAGTCTAAAAAAATAAGGTATACTTCAGTGAGGTGTAGAGGAATTCATATTTGGCTGAAAAAATAGTCTTTACACAATTAGTAATTTAGGGTTATCTATAGAGTGACTAAAGCCCACATTGATGATTAACAATTAAGGAGTTAATTGGTGCTAATAGCCTTACAGAAAGAAATACCAATGGTGCTGATGATGCTACTGAGCAAACAGTTGTAAATAGGGTAGTGAATTGGAGTAGAGGTAAACTATGCAAGTGTACTTGGTGTGTACTGTAGGAGCCCTCTGAAGTCCTAATGAAGACAAGCATTAAAGTGGAAGACAAGTCAAAACCTAACTAAGCATAAATCTACTCCCTCCCCCATTCTAAGCGTATTCTGTCTACCATGTAAAAGGAAATATGCTGTCTATACTTACCTTTTTTGAATGCGCTTCTGTCCAGTCACATGACCTATCCAGCAGCTAACTTCAGTGAAGAGGTAAGATCTCTGACAACGGCTGAAAAGCCTACACAGTGACATCATCCATAGGCTCACTATGGTGCATCCACTGTCAGCTCCTCTACACTGAAGCTGGCGCTGGAATCTGATTATGTGACTGGACCGGAGCGACTTCAGAATAGTTAAGCATAGTCTCTTTCCTTTTACAAGGCAGATAGAACAGGCTTATAATGGGGGTGGGAGCAGGTTTAGATATAATTAGGTTTTGATTTTCCTTCTACTTTAAGCCAATTTACTAAATAAATTATAGTTGTGTTAACTTTGAATACCCAATCATTTGAAGATGGAGAGGAATTGCCTTTGTTTTAGCTTCACTGCCTACCACAAGAGAACATGCATATGTGGAGCAACAGTAAAGCACATTAAAAATATCCAGAGTGTTCTATTTTTATCTAGAAACCCCTTTGTGGGTTAAAATAAAGTCAGGTTTTGTTCTGTATTCAAAATAATAAATACTTGCTGTATTAGGCTTTAATTTCCCTCACCAGCATTTATTAATCACTTGACCTCTAGAAGGTTTTACCCTATCATGACCACAAATAGAGCTTTCTTTTAGTGGTATTTGATCATCACTGGGTTTTTTTAGTTTTAGAATATAAATGATAAAGACCGAAAACTTAAAAAAAAACATTATTTTTTAAAACATATCCAACAACAAAAAACAAACAATCAAATTTCTTCATACATTTAGGCCAAAGTGTATTCTGCTGTCTTTGGTAAATAAAAAAAAACAATAAGTGCATATTAATTGGTTTATGTGAAAGTTATAGCACCTATAAACTGGTATATATACTGGAATTTCCGCAGCTATAACACTACATTGGTAATGGTAAAGATCAGTGACTTATAGTGGGACTGTGATAGTGTAGCGGGCAGTCTGGTGCTAGCTGACGCTGACTGGGAGGTACACTAACTGATTAACTGACACTGACATCAGTAGTGACAATAATAAAGTTATCAGTGCTAATACAGTACTAATGACACTGGCTGGGAGGGGTTAACATCTAGGGGCAATCAGGGGGTTAACTGTGTGCCTAACAATGTCTACTGTATGTAATTTGTGCTGCTTTTACTTTGCTGTATGACTGTTTTTTTCTCTTGCTGTTCCCTGTACAAAGAGTTCTGTGTTTTGTAAACACAGAACTCTGTGTGTAATTGGATGCAGCTGATCAGCTGATGTGAGCCAAAATCATTGGCTGAAATTAGATGCCAAACTTATGCTGTGTCCAATCACAGCACAGGTCAAAAGGGGGCACGCATGCCCACATCCGCAGACCCGGAAGCAGGCAGTCATGTACTGTGGCGGGAAGTGGATAATATTTATTGGCTTTATTCAGCACCAGGAGTCAAAGTAAGTACTGGGAATTCTTGTTCTGGAAAACAAACTATGTGACTTACTCCATGTGACAGTGCTGAGCCAATCAGTACTGTCACACAGAAAGTTCATAGCCCTATGTAAGCTATAACTCTGGTGACTTGTAGTTTACACAGACAGTTCTCTTCCTTGCAGCAGCAGAATAGAACAGCTGGGGAGTGAAGGAAAATTGTTGTGTCAGGTTTGTATGACTGCCTTTACTGTTAGTGGTCAGTGGGCAGGGTTGGGCCAGGTTTGTATCACTGCCCTTGCTCTTCGTGGTTAGTGGTAAATGTTGGGTCAGGTTTGTAACACTGCCATCACCCTTAGTGGTCAGTGGGCAGGGTTGGGTCAGGTTTGTATTGCTATTGTTGCCCTTAGTGGTTAATGATCAGGGTTCGGTTAGATTTGTATGGCTGCCTTTGCCATTAGTGGTCAGGGGGCAGGGTTGGGTCAGGTTTGCATTGCTATCTTTGCCCTTGGTGGTTAGTGGGCAGGGTTGGGTCAAATTTGCATCGCTGCCTTTGCCCATAGTGGTCAGTGGGCAGGGTTGGGTCAGGTTTGTATTGCTGCCTGTGCCATTAGTGGTCAGAGTTGGGTTAAGTTTCTGTTGTCCCTTTGACCCAAGGAGTGAGGAGATATCCCCTAATGAAGAGAATAAAAGTCTTTTCCTAACCCTCAACTAATCTGTCAATAACTGATCTTTGTAGCCAGCCAGGTTGACAAAGATCCAGTAGTTTAACTCTGATATTACTGATTTGTTTATTCTAGCTATAAATGGACTATAAATTGAGTATACTGCTAAAATAGGTTCACATAATTCCACACTTCTGGTGCATATAATAATTATACAATTTTTGCCACCACGTAAATGTCTTGCAGTGGTTTTAAAGAAATCAGAATCCCTAATGGACATTAAAAATGCATTTGGATTTTACCTATTTCTTCTTGCATTGTATATCTAGATTCCTTTTTATCCTCCTGGGACCAAAAGGAAAAGCCAAGTCATACCATGAGATTGGAAGAAGTATAGCCACTTTAATGTCTGATGAGGTAATACTAAGTAATGTAGATGGCATCTATTATATGCATGTATATCCTTAACACACTTCAGATTATTACACCACTATCAACGTTTTTACATTACATCATAATCAAAACATACAGTTCTCAGCATAAATGAGTACACCCCTTTTGAAAAAAAAAATGTAATCAATATCTCAATGAACACAAGAACAATTCCAAAATTTTGACAAAGCTGAGTTTTATAGAACATTTGTTTAGCTCATTACATGAATGTAAGATTAATAATATAACTTAGATTACAAAATCTTCAGTTTTACTCAAATTAGTTGATGCAAAAATGAATACACCCCACAACAAAAAACTACTACATCTAGTATATTGTATGACCTCCATAATTTATAAGGACAGCACCAAGTCTTCTAGGCACGGAATGAACAAGTTGGCGACATATTGCAACATCTATCTTTTTCTATTCTTCAAGAACAACTTCTTTTAGAGCCTGGATGCTGAATGGAGAGTGATGCTCAACTTGTCTCTTCAGATCAAGAGACATACTTGGCCACTGAATCACTTTCATCCTGTTCTTCTTCAGAAATGCAACAAAGGCCTTAGATGTGTGTTTTGGATTATTGTCATATTGGAAAAGTGCAGGATGACCAAGGGCACAGAGTGATGGCAGCATCTTCTCTTTCAATATAGAGCAGTACATCTGAGAATTTATGATACCATGATACCATCTCCAAAAACAGCAGCACTCATGCAGCCTCACAGAAGGACACTGCTAACACCATGTTTCACTGTAGGCACCATGTATTTTTCTTTGTACTCCTCACCTTTGCAATGCCATACAGTTTTGAAGTCATCAGTTCCAAAAACATTTATCTTGGTCTCATCACTCCAGAGTACAGAGTCCCAGTAGTCTTCTTCTTTTTCAGCATAGGCCCTGGCAAATTCTAAGCAGGCTTTTTTGTGCATGGGCTTTAGGAGAGGTTTCCTTCGTGGATGACACCCATGCATGCCATTCTTCTGCAGTGTATGCCATATTGTGTCATGGGAAAATCACCCTAGTTTGGCTTTCTACTTCATTAGCTAACTGCAGTGAACTTGCATGGTGATTCTCTTCAGCCCTTCTCATCAGAAGACACTCCTGTCGTGGTGTTAACTTCTGTGGATAGCCTGGATGTCACTATGAGATGGTGACAGTTCTGTCTATGTTAAATTTTTGTATCGCTTTTGTACAGTATCCTGACTGATAAGTAAAGCTTTACTGATCTTCTTGTAGCCTTCATCTTTCTTGTGTAAACAAATGTTTTCTCTTTCTCAGGGTTTGTTTCATTTCTCTTTCATGTGGTGCCATTGCTGACAGCATGAAATGGGAAGGGGTTTTCTTTGTTAAGTAATGCCCTTTTATAATAAACTGTCTGCTGGACACCTGTTTAATGAATAATTAGACTCACCTATAGTTGAATTCTTGGTAATTAGGATTTTGTTGTGTAAAATTTAGCTTTGTTTCTAAGACTTTCATTGGGGTGTATTCATTTTTGCAACATGATCTTGAATGTACTTGTTAGGAAACGTACTTTTTTGTGTGTGCAAATGAACAAATCTTATTTGTAATTAATGGACTGCATTTGTGGGAGTATTTTGTACTATAGTGTCCCATAAACAATGTTAATTCTGAAAGGAAAAGAAAGGTTTTCTGACAAATCTGTTGTGGTGTACTCATTTATGCTGAGCACTGTATATATTGAAAAATCGAAGGAGCTGAATGAAAAATTGTTGGCCAAACAGCACCAGCATCCAATCAGATGCAAGCACTTTACGTATATTCTGACAGTCGGGAGAATCAGCTGTCAGAATATATTACACTGCTCAAAAAAAATTAAAAGAACACTTTGAAAACACATCAGATCTCAATGAGGATGTCTATACTGATATGGATTGGGTAATGTGTTCGGAACATAAGGATGCCCCATCGTTTAATGGAAATTAAAATTTTCAACCTACAGAGGACTTAATTCAAAGACACTTCGAAAATCAAAGTGAAAAAATTATACAGCAGGCTAGTCCATTTGGCTGAAATTTCATTGCAGCGACTCAAAATGGTACACAGTAGTTTGTATGGCCCACACGTACTTGTATGCATGCCTGACAGCATGCTTTTTATGAGACAACGGATGGTGTCTTGGGGTATTTCCTCCCAGATCTGGACCAGGGCATCACTGAGCTCCTGGACAGTCTGAGGTGCAACCTAGCGGCATTGGATGGACCAAACATGATATCCCAGACGTGCTATATTCAATTTGGGTCAGGAGAGCGTGGGGGACATTCAATGGTATCAATTCCTTCATCCTCCAGGAACTGCCTGCATACTCTCGCCACATGAGGCTGGGCTCTGTTGTGCACCAGGAGGAACCCAGGACCCACTGCACCAGCGTAGGGTCTGACAATGGGTTCAAGGATTTCATCCCGATACCTAATGGCAGTCATGGTGCTATTGTCTAGCCTGTAAAGGTCTGTGCATCCCTCCATGGATATGCCTCCCCAGACCATCATTGACCCACCACCAAAACAGTCATGCTGAATGATGTTACAGGCAGCATAACGTTCTCCATAGCTTTTCCAGACCCTTTCACATGTGCTCAGAGTGAACCTGCTGCCATATGTAAAAAGGCACAGGGCGCTAGTGGTGGACCTGCTAATTCTGGTGTTCAATGGCAAATGGCAATCAAGCTCTGTGGTGCCGGGCAGTGACCACTAGAGGACGTCGGGCTCTCAGGCCACCCTTATGAAATCTTTTTCTGATTGTTTGGTCAGAGACATTCACACCAGTGGCCTGCTGGAGGTAATTTTGTAGGGCTCTGGCAGTGCTCATCCTGTTCCTTCTTGCACAAAGGAGCAGTTACCGGTCCTGCTGATGGGTTAAGGACCTTGTACGGCCCTGTTCTTTTCTCTTAGAGTAACTGAATGTCTCCTGAAATCTCCTCCATGCTCTTGAGACTGTGCTGTGAGACACAGCAATGCGTCTGACAATGGCATGTATTGCACGTGTTGGACTGCCTGTGCAACCTTTGTAGGGTCCAGGTATCACCTCATGCTGCCACTAGTGACACTGACCCTAGCCAAATGCAAAACTAGTGAAAAACAGTCAGAAAAGATGAACAGGGAAAAAAATGTCAGTGGCCTCCACCTGTAAAACCATTCCTGTTTTGGCAGTTGTCTCATTGTTGCCCATCTAGTGCACTTGTTGTTAGTTTCATTAACACCAAAGCAGCTGAAACTGATTAAAACCCCCCTCTGCTACTTAACTGACCAGATCAACATCCCAGGAGTTTAATGGACTTGATTCTATACTCTGGTTACAAAGTGTTCCTTTAATTTTTTTGAGTAGTGTAGATTCAGTGGGAAATTTGTCCTTCTACACTGTTGGATGGAGTAATGTGTTAGATCTTTTTCACTCAGAAAGAAATCTGTACATATATGGCCAGCTTTAGATGTGACTGCCTTTAATATGCTCTAAAATATTGGTAAAAACAAAGTTTAAAGCTGAAACCTTAGACTGTGGAAGAACGTTACACAAACTGATATTTTTGGTGCCGTGTCATTATTGGAAGCTTTGCATTTTGTTATTCAATTTCAGGTATTTCATGACATCGCCTATAAAGCTAAAGACAGGCAGGACCTGATCGCTGGAATTGATGAATTTTTAGATGAAGTAATTGTACTTCCACCTGGGGAATGGGACCCAACTATAAGGATAGAACCGCCAAAGACTCTTCCTTCATCTGATAAGAGGTATAGTGTTTTCATATACATTAACATGCATTCAGTGAGGACACCTAATAACACAGTGGCATTGATTTACTAAAGTATGCAAGGAGTAAAAAACATTTACTTAGCAAAGTGAGCATTCACTGAGCTTAGTAAATATAGTGTTGCTTTGTTCACTTCAATCATCCGAAAATGTACACACAAAGATCCATTTTTTTTTCAGGCCCAACTGTAAGAAAAAGAAGATATATGTATGCGCTCCTCTGTGCTGCTAGACCAGTTCCAGCTTCACCCCCCACACTACAGCAGTCTAAGGTCCTGACATTATTAAGACCAATGTAGAGTAAATATCCCTGCAATGGACATGATGATGCCAAATGATAGTCCACAGCCCTAGACAAAACAAGTGGATAACACTTCCTGTGGGGGAAAGGGTTAGACTCTCCCAAAGTTGGGCTTAAATTTCCTTTGTACATGATTAGATATTCAAAGTGAACGCCACAACACTATTGTATACTTACTAGTATATCAACCCAAGTGATTTTAGCTGACTTGCTGAATCTTCTCATAGTTGAATACTAGAAAATATCTCTTTTTTTGTTCCTAATCAAACTGACCTCCAGACAAATATTAAAACACCTTTTAATTTAGTCATGCATTTGTTTGCAAAATTAATTACAGCATTTTGTATGGCTAGTATAAATACCTTAGACCATATTTGTATTAAGGTTTTTTTGTTAATTCTCTGGAAAGCAGTACTCTGAGCCAGTAAGACTCATTGCTTTGTACGGTGCTATCAATAAACATGCTCACGGGAGAACACAAGGTTGACCTCATTAATATGCTTCTGCTCCTTTATTAAGTAGTCAGAAGGCTGGGGATAAGATGTAACTCGGGAAGGAAAAAGCAGCCATACTTTGCTATAGTTAACCATCATGTGGGTATCATTACCATCACTTCAGGGATAGATGGTCAGATGGAAAATAGCCAGATGGAAAATGCTTGCTCCTATAACAGCAATGCATATTATATGTGGGGTATATACTTGAGATCCTGATATCATGTTTATTGCCTAGAAATTTGCTTTACATGAATGATATTTATCTCAAATTTGACCTATCCACAGGAAAAACATGTATGCTGGAGGGGAGAATGTACAAATGAATGGAGACACTCCTCATGATGCTGGTCATGGTGGTGGAGGACATGGTGACGCTCCAGAATTAAGAAGAACTGGACGGTTAGTGACTCAGTAGTAGTGGAGTATTTAATGCACTTTTTGGGGGAGATTTACTAAAGCTGGTTCATTCAGAATCTGGTGCACCTGTGCATGGTAGCCAATCAGCTTTTAAGCTCAGCATATTCTATTAAGCTTGGGCAATAAAACCTGGAAGCTGATTGGTTTCTATGCAGATGTGCACCTGATTCTGCACTCTCCAGCTTTAGTAAATAAACCCCTTTATATCACCATTTGGGTGTGATACTCATGCTAGCGTCACTTTTAAAATAGCTTCAGCACAGGAGAGGTTTTCAGCGCAATCTAGAAGAAGGTGGTTATGGGTTGTATGCATTATCAGAAAGAAGAGCTCAGAAGAGAGTATCCAGATACCAACATATCTTAAACTGAACCCCTGCCAAATATAAAATACACAATTTAATGTAACTCTATATTGATAAAGCCATTTCTGCCCACCATCTGTATATAAACATTTCCCAGCACAATGTTTTGTGTTTGAGATTGATTCTGACTGGTTGCTGTGAGTACTAAACATTGCTCTTAGCAATTTGCACTTTTTATTAATGAAACCCCTAATATATTAATATAATTGGTTGTTTTGTTCAGTATAATGACACTGTACCTAAGCAAGATATTTGTATCTTAAAGGTCCCCAATAGGCTGCAGGCAAACACAATAGATATTACCCTTGTGTTTCTTAGGACCCATTCACACATATCCATTGTGGTACATCAGGGTAATGCGCATTATTGTGGTTTGTGAATCCAATCATTTTTCCATGGAACCTAAATGCACAAAGGCAATGTATTTCCAATACACATTGCTGTGCATCATACCACACAACAACACAACAGCCCACTATCATGTGTCAGAAAAACTGATGCTTGTCTGATTTTTGGGCTTCCTGGGCTTCCTTAATAATGACCTTAATGTGCATGCATTAATGCAACGCTGCCTAGGTGTATATGGGTCCTTGGTATTATTTAATTCCTAAACAACAGCTGGTTAACCAATATAGATAGCACAGATATATTCACATTGTTGTTGCTGGATAACAGTAAAGGTTAGTGAAATTATATAATTTACATTGTCTGTACTATTTTTGACATTGAAATTCCCTTTTCAAATAAGTATTTTGCTTCTCACAACTTTGATAGGTTTTGTGGTGGGTTAGTTGAGGATATCAAGAGGAAAGCACCTTTTTTTGCAAGTGACTTTTATGATGGCCTAAGCATCCAGTCACTTTCAGCCACACTCTTCATTTACCTGGGAACTGTGACCAATGCTATTACCTTCGGAGGTCTTCTTGGAGATGCTACAGAAAACATGCAGGTAATGAAAAGTGTCTCATTCTTATTATTATTGGTGGAGTCCTAACATATCCCATGTTAAGGTTTAGTTATACAGTGGTATTATTTTACTAAAACTGGAGAGTGCAAAATCTGGTGCAGCTCTGCATAGAAACCAATCAGCTTCCTTTTTTTTTTGTTTCAAAGCCTAATTGAACAAGCTGAAGTTAGAAGCTGATTGGCTACCATGCACAGTTGCACTAGATATTTCACTCTCCGGTTTTAGTAAATCTCTCCCATTGAGAAAGAGCATGAACAAGAAGAACCTGAAGTCTTTGTAAATATAATTTGACATTGCTCCTGACATCAGAAAGCCATAATACTAAACAGGCTGTATTGATGATTTGCAGATTCAGAGTGATTTTAGAAACTAAATGCTTTGAGCAAGCACAACATGTTCTTCTCCAAGAATTGCAATATACCCTCTTCAGAGCATTCAGTATACTCGTTTTTAATGCTTCTAGACCTGTTGCAACCTTTCAATTTCAGTACCTGCTATTTCCTGTACCTGGGAAATTTTTTATCACTAGGGACTAGCGAGCTCTGAATAGCACAATATAGCAAAGGCTGGCTTGTCTATTCTTTCAGGTTATTGGCTTTTAGAGAACGATCTGATTAGGGACATTGTTTATGTAGTGCATTATAAGTTCATGTGCAAATATTTGACCGTAAATTCTGAGTTTCACTGAACTGTGAAATCATGCATGACCATTGACCATGCTAAAGTAACGGAAATTAGTTGTGTATATTGCCTTTTCCTTATCTCACAGCTCTAAAACCTGGCCATCAGAACATATCTCACTGGTGTCTCATACACCAGCCCTGGAACTTAGTTATCAATTGTGAATTTTATTGTTTACTATCTGCTAGCAACAGAACCTTATTATTACATGTGTATTTTACCTGTTGCTTTTTAGCCAACTCCAGAGTCTGATTATCAGACAGGATTTTCACCTGTTCCTGATCAGGCACCCAGAAACCTGATAATTGGCCACATATTTCATCAAGTCCTCATCACTCACCTCCATTCTGTATCAGCCATCTGCAGAAACTAGCTGACAGATATACATTTCACCTGTTGCCCATCAGCTATCCACAGAACCTGAACATTATTGGATGTGTATTTCCCCTGATCATCACCAGCTAACCCCTAAACAAAATTATCAGAAATGCATTGCACAAAGTTTCAGAACCTGATCATCTCATGTATGCTTTCTTTATCCAGCCTTAGAACCTAGTTAATTCATGTGATTTTTACATGTTCCTCATCACCCACCTAGCCAGAGAACCTGATCATTAGATGTGCATTTGAAAGTGTTACTAAACGAAGGACCCTGCATTCTGGTCTCCCACAGCACACAGAACATGGAAATAGAATTATTTTAGTAAATATAAACTGTTAAATAACTTTTCTCTTCAGCAGTTAGAGCAGTCTTGTGACTTCAGCAGAGCACTGGTTAAAGCTTGTAGGAGGAGTTTTCTTTCTGCTCTGGGAGGATGCAAAACCCCTGAACTCTGACTGGACAGTGCTGATTGGCGCTGTGCTGATCACATGCACTCTCCCAAGAAAAAAAAAAACCTCTCTAGCAATTCATACTAAATTGAGCATGTGCATGTGGCTATGGGTTCAGTCTGTCTTATCAGGTGGACATCTGAACAAGAGGAGGGGCATTGAAAACAGGATCAAATGGCCTTTTTACACAATGCAGAGGATTAACCCCTTAGGTTCCACAGTGAGTATAACAAGCATGGTTTACTTCATATACAGACTGATTTTACTGTTGTTGGTTTAGTAACACTTAACCTGTCCCTCATCAGGCAGACACTGAACTGTATCATCATAAAGTTTTACCCTATCCTTCATCCTGACCATCATCATCTAGCTTAAGAGCCCGATCATCAGCCATGCATCCCACTTTTTCCTCTTAGGCTGTATACCTAATTATGAGAATTGCAACTCACCAGTGCCCCATTAGCCAGCCCCAGAACCAGTGTAACTAAAACTACATACCTTATCAAAAGGACAAGCCGGGAGCTTTCATTCAGCAGACAAGTTCAATAAAAGGAGTATTCACTCTTTCCATATAATGTTTTCAAATGTACTTAGGAAAATAGATTTATTACATTTTATTAGCTATATGTCCTCTAGGGCAGTGTTTTTCAACCATTTTTGTGCTTTTTTCATGAAAAAAATCACGAGGCACACCACCATTAGAAAATGTTAAAAAAATTTACCTCTGTGCCTATATTGACTATATATAAAGTAATTCTCTTGAATAGGAATCAAACACAAAGAAATTATTTTATAATTACTTTATTATGAAATAATAAAGTATTTTATAATTGGACCCGGGGGCCGGACCAAGAGTAGATGAATGATGTGTATGTGTCATCCATAGTAAGTATAGTAATATTCCACCATAGTAAGCATAGTAATTAATCCCCCATATAGTAATTCATCCCCCATAGTAATTCATCCCCCATATAGTAATTCATCCCCCATAGTAATTAATCCCCCATAGTAATTAATCCCCCATATAGTAATTCATCCCCCATAGTAATTCATCCCCCATAGTAATTAATCCCCCATATAGTAATTCATCCCCATAGTAATTCATCCCCCATATAGTAATTCATCCCCCATAGTAATTCATCCCCCATAGTAATTAACCCCCCATATAGTAATTCATCCCCCATAGTAATTCATCCCCCATAGTAATTAATCCCCCATATAGTAATTCATCCCCCATAGTAATTAATCCCCCATATAGTAATTCATCCCCCATAGTAATTCATCCCCCATATAGTAATTTCATCCCCCATAGTAATTCATCCCCCATAGTAATTCATCCCCCATATAGTAATTAATCCCCCATAGTAATTCATCCCCCATAGTAATTCACCCCCCATATAGTAATTCATCCCCCCTATAGTAATTCATCCCCCATATAGTAATTCATCCCCCATATAGTAATTCATCCCCCATAGTAATTCATCCCCCCTATAGTAATTAATCCCCCATATAGTAATTCATCCCCCATAGTAATTCATCCCCCATATAGTAATTCATCCCCCATATAGTAATTCATCCCCCATAGTAATTCATCCCCCCTATAGTAATTCATCCCCCATAGTAGTAATTCATCCCCCATAGTAATTCATCCCCCCTATAGTAATTCATCCCCCATAGTAATTCATCCCCCATAGTAATTCATCCCCCATATAGTAATTCATCCCCCATAGTAATTCATCCCCCATAGTAATTCATCCCCCATATTAAGTCCCCAAGCCCCCCCCTGTGTCAATTCACTTACCTTTGCTCCGCGCGTTCCTCTCGCCGTTCCGGTGTAGCATGAAAATCTGTCTCCTATGAGGATCTGTCCCCCTCGACGTATCTGCGCATGTGCCAGTTTCAGGCATTAGCAGCCGATCGGCGATCTCCGGCACATGCGCAGATACGTCGAGGGGGACAGATCATCCTGACAGTATCACGCTCCGCGGGCCGGATTAAAAGGTCCGCCGGGCCGTAGTTTGCCCATTGCTGTTCTAATGATTGGTCTATTTGTGAGCCGAGGCCACATGTTACGGATGAAATTGCAATTTTTCCCACGGCACACCAGACAATATCTCACGGCACACTAGTGTGCCGCGGCACAGTGGTTGAAAAACGCTGCTCTAGGGTACATATAATCATATATAGATCTTAAGCATTATATGTAAAATGTGTCCAAGATCTACCAAGCCACAAAAAAGCAGATAACAGACAAATAAATAGCATCCAAGACATGTTCATATTAATCTAATAATCAGTTTAGATTTATAGTTCTAAATAGTGATTTGCTTATAAAAAGATGTCCAATGTAAACAACATTGGGATGTTATGGTGAATTCATTCTGCACTGACCATGACAACTCATCTACTGTGACAACAGCTGGGTAATATGAACAAAGTACACTGTTTCCAAACAATTGCTGTGTAAGATCCTCGAGTTCCCTTTCCATGACGTTAATAAATTAAGAGCCACATGCAAGTCTCCTTTCGAAGATAGCATTTTGTCTCTAATTTAGCCGGAGTCAGACTTAAACAGGAACTCACATAATTGTTGTTCTTGGTGCCAATAGTGTTTATGTGGGAAAGAAATAGTAAAGTAAGCTATGTTATTGGGGCTATAATTTAAGACACGCTATTACTGTAATTATTTCAAGCTGTCATTCACTAGGTCTCTCCTCTGTTATCAAGTAATGGTCAAGTACAGTTCAATTTATATTACTTTTGTGACATAGATTAATGACTTTGCCATATGTGTCACTGTGTTCTATAATATGTTCTCTATCATAAAATAATCTTCATTGTACATAAAAATGTAATGAATATTTTTAACATTATAGAATATTTTATTCAAACTAATTTTATCTGGAAAAGCAGCACTCTTGCTTTTATACGCCTTGTCATTTCATTATACTAAGGCATTCAGTGATGCTTCTCCATGCACATAATGACATCAAGGTGCTAAAAGTGATGATACCGCTGCACTTGTATAGCCCATATCATTTCTCGTACCAAATGGCTGCTACTCCTTTCTAGGCCTAATTGTAAAACATGCACAGACAGTATATCATACTGTATCTATTTAGATTTCCATAGTGTTGAGATTAATCAGCTAAACCTAAGACTAAATCTTAGCCTATGCCTAAACCTGAAGTCCAGGCACTGCTGATAATTATCATTATAATTATGAAAATGGTATCAATTCTAGTGGCATTTACATGATATACAGTATCATAAATGTTATATATCTTAACAAACCTATGGTTTGTTGTATGAATGACTTATGTTATGACACTAGCATACCGTGTGCTTATTGTTACTGAAAAAACTGCCCTGAAATGTCAGATGTAATTGATATGCTTAATGTTTCCTTGAGACGGAATTCTAACTAGGAAGTCAGCTTTGTGTAACCTTATATATCTACACATAAGGCTTTTGTCAGTAAAGTGTTCTTAGGTCCGGAGTGCAGAGGCAATTATGATTCTCTTTACTAAATTCAAACCAATATAAGATGGACTCTGACTAGCATTATTAAAAATTAGGGAAAATTAAGTGTTGGACTAGTTCAAATGTTTTAATAAAGACAATGTCAATGTTTAAAGAAATATCAATTATTTGGCTTTTAAACAAATCACTGATACAAAATCATCGAACAAACAGTTCTGCTTCTGTCTGCCTTGTGAGACTCAGTTATTCCCCAATTGGCATCCAGAATCCCACTTCTGACATACTGCTTAGAGAAGGTGTAGGTAGGCTCTTAGTAACAGTCCATACCTTAAATCTTTGTCAAAAAGCTAAAATAAAAGACCTCTAGGTCCACCAAAGAAACCTAAATGCCCAATTATATGTATAGTATAATATGTGTGTAGGTTGGGCATGTGGAGTTAGGGAGTCACTGTAATAAGAATATATGAATAAAAAAATGTTTCATGACTCTACCTCCCCCACAAAATCCACCACACACATAATAAGTCAATCAAAGCCTCCACTGATCAAAAAACTCCACCCAACAAATGCCAAAATTATACCTTTATTTGTACCTCATATAAAAGCTAAAATCAAACAAATATCTTAAAAACTCTCCAAAATGTCATATTCTCATATTGGTCACAGTAACATGAATATTAATCAATTTTATATGATCATCCATAGTTTTCTGTCACACATGTCCAAACTGTGCCAAATGTCCAGGTTGTGCACCCAAGGAACGATATATATACTGCTTATTGATGAAAATCCACTTCAAGTTTTACCCATAAAAGCAACATAAAAGTCTTCAACAATTAATAGGTTCTGAATTTCACACATATTTCCATCAATTGCTGTTTAGTATATGTTCCATTGATTGTTCCAGCATATATGTACATGTGAATAGTTTACCACAGGTTGCTACTTTAGATGCTGGTGGTGCCAAACTATAAAGGTGTGCACTGTGGTCAAGAGGAGGAAGAAACATAGGGGTGGGGGCAGGTGACCCCTGCCTTTTTTCCTCCTCTTGACCACAGTGCCCACCATTACAGTTTTCATCAATAAGCGGTATATATTAAGTTCCTTGGGCCCACAACCTGGACATTTAGCCCAATTTGGATATATGAGCATAAAGTATGTGACGTAATAAAAAATTATTATAAATTGGTTAATATTTATGTTGCTATGACCAATATTAGAATATGGCATTTTGGTGAGTCATATAACGGGTTTTTATTCATATATTCTTTCCACACTTTAAAGCCACATATCACCACAATCTGTAGGGCAGCAATCATACGCCCAGGGGCATATTTACAACAATTCAAACAAGGCATTTGCCTAGGGTGGCTTTTTTTTTTGGGGGGGGGAGGGGGCAGAAGGGACAGAAGAAGGGACACACGTGACATGTGAATCAGGTAAAATCCAAGATAGGCTGTGGGCTGCTATACAGTGTATGCAGAGCCCAACTCTCATTCCCGGATATGTCTGCAGCTGTGAAGTTGAGTGTCTTTTTCTCTCTCGCCTGGGAGTGAGGGTTGGCGGCCAGTGTATGGGGGGCCATGGTAGTGGAAGGCTCTCCTGGGTGGGGGGCAGGGGTGTCAGGCTCTACCTCCTGGGGGGGAAGGGTTCTGGTGTCTATCAATTTTTGTGTTGCCTAGGGCAGCACAAAACCTAAATACACCACTGCATACGCCAGCGGCCAGATGGAGTGGTTACATATGGAAATTAGGGCTTAGCTGTTGACTTTGACAATTTGAAAATAAGCATATCTGTAGTCTGTAGTCTTTAGTCTGCTCAGGCTGCACATTTTATGGAAAGTATGTTTGTTGCAGCTGGTGGCTCAAATTATGAAGGAACCTCTAAATTTGCCATCTTAGCCCTAGTTCACACTGCTGTGACTTGCTGCGACCTGCTACACAGAAGGAAGATATTTAAAAAACACATTCATTTCAATGGGTGCTGTCTTAAAGTGTTACTAAACCCACAAGAGTAAAATCAGCCTATATATGCAGTAAAGCATGCTTGTAAAACTCACTGTGGAAGGGTTTAATCCTTTGTATTGTGTAAAAAGGCTGTTTGATCCTGACTTCTCTGATCCTCCCCTTCTTCCAGTATCCCCCTCTTATCTCTTGATAACACACATCGTGTGGAATCACTCTGCACATGCTCTGTTTGGTGTGTATTGCTAGAGAGGTTTTTTTTGGGAAAGTGCATGTGATCAGCACAGGGCCAATCAGCACTGTCCAGACAAAGGCCAAGGGTTCTGCATCCTCCTAGAGTGAAAAGAAAACTCCTCCTACAAGCTTTAACATGTGCTCTGCTGGACACTGATAGAAGTCACAACACTGCTCTAACTGCTGTTGAGAAAAGGTATTTAGCAGTTTATATTTACTAAACTAATTGCACTTCCATGTTCTGTGTACTGTGGGAGACCAGATATAGTGAATGCAGGGTCCTGGGTTTAGTAACACTTTAATTGCTGTAGCAAGTAGCAGCGATAAAAATAAATAGTTCCTGCACTACTTTTCTGCATCTTCGGTGTGACATGAGTGCCATAGACTGCAGTGTTAAAATCACAAAAGTCGCAAGGTAGTTGTATCTTTTGTTCTTTCTCTGCGAATCTGACTGCGGCTTTAGGCCAAAGTCGCAAAACAGAAAAGTTGCGTGAAAGTCGCATCAAGTCGTGAGTAAGTTGAAATGCAAAGTCACACTGGAAGTTGCATGACTTTGAGGGAGCAGCAGTGTGAATAGGATTCACACCTAAGCAGTTTCTGCAGTGTTTTGTGTTTTGCAGAAACGCAGTACAGTCCATTTAACATGATTTCCTATGGGACAGGTTCACATCTCTGCGTTTTCACCCGATGCGTTTTTTGGAAAGGATCAGGGATTTTTTTGAATGCAAAACGTTGCATTTTTGATTTTATAGACGGTCAATGGGAACACTGCAAAAAAGCAGGCATTGTGTTTTTGCTGCGTTTTTTCAGTATATTTTATGCGTTTTTAAAGCGTTTTGCATTTAAAATCTGCCTAGCAACAAGAAAAATAAAAAAATGGGAAAAAACCCCCGTAAAATGCAGCAAAAACGCAGCGTAAAATGCAATGCAGAAACGCCTCAATTGCAACCTGCATAGGTGTGAATCTAGACTTAGGTTTATTTTAAGTGACTTTTTTTTACACAGAACATAAGCAGGTCCTTTTGCAGATGCAGTATGTTTAAAGGCCACATTTCTACATATTTTACCACTTATCACAAATGAAAAATGGATGGTCTGCATTATCACAGGCTGTGATTCTGGGCCATTCAGAAAATAAGGATACTTTTATGGATTTAGCGAGTAGGGCAGCTGTCAGGAAGAATGTTAGAGGTACTTACTTTTATTATAAACTGTATTACTTTTCTGTTTTTTTTCACAGGTAAGCTAACATATACATTTAGATATAATGGAAGCTTCTATTCTTTTTCTCTAGGGTGTTTTGGAGAGCTTCCTGGGTACTGCTGTCTCTGGTGCTGTATTTTGCCTTTTTGCTGGTCAGCCACTTACAATTTTGAGCAGCACGGGTCCTGTCCTTGTGTTTGAGAGACTGTTATTTAACTTCAGCAAGTAAGTCAAATTAGACTTATTACAAGTACAGTGAAGAAATGTCAAAGGAATTTGCATGTTGAATTTCTACAAGCACCATGACATGAAGTGCCTTATTAAAAAGAAAAGGGTGCTAGTTCTTGAGTGTCATTAATTTATCCAGGTCATGATTATTTATTTATTACAGGTACTTACATAGCGATTTATATACACCCTGTTCCAAATTATTATGCAAATGATATTTTTCTCATTTACCTAAATAATTGATAAAAATAACAGTCAGCATAATTCTCATGTTATCAACTATTAAGAGTACAATTCACATTTTATTGAACAAACCTCCTAATGATAACAGTATTTTTTTTAAACATAAAAAACTTAGAATGCACTGTTCCAAATTATTACGCACAGTAAGTTTCAAAACACTTTATAGGTTGTAAAGAACTGAAAATTGTCATTTGTTGTGTTTGCAGAATAGACTCCCAGAGCTGCTGTTTGGATATAAACTGCCTCCCACCCTCATAGATCTATTGCTTGAGGATGCTCCAAAGGTTCTCAATAGGATTGAGTTCAGGGGAGGATGGAGGCCACACCATGACTTTCTCTCCTTTTATCCCCATAGCAGCCATTGATGCAGAGGTATTCTTTGCAGCATGAGATGGTGCATTGTCATACATGAAGATGATTTTATTACGGAAAGCATAGTTCTTCCTTCTGTACCAGGGAAGAAAGTGGTCAGTCATAAACTCCACATACTTTGCAGAGGTCATCTTTACACCTTCGGGGACCCTAAAGGGCCGACCAGCTCTGTTCCCATGATTCCGGCCCAAAACATGACTCCACCACCGCCTTGCTGACGTCGCAGCCTTGTTGGAACAGGGTGGCCGTCCACCAACCATCCACTACTCCATCAATCTGCACCATCCAGGGTTGCACGGCACTCATCAGTGAACAGGACTGTTTTAAAAATTAGTCTTCATGTATTTTTCAACCCAATGCAGCCGTTTCTGCTTGTGAGCATTGGTTAGTGGTGGCCGAATAGATGGTTTATGCACAGTTGCAAGACTCTGGAGGACTCTACACCTTGATGTCCGTGGGACTCCAGAGGCACCAGCAGCTTCAAATATCTGTTTGCTGCTATGTAATGGTTTTTTAGCAGCTTCTCTCTTGATCCGATGCATGGATCTGGCAGAAATCTTCCTCAATGTGCCTTTATGCGCACGAACCCGTCTGTGCTCTGAATCAGCCACAAATCTCTTAATAGTGCGATGATCACGCTTAAGTTTTCGTGAAATATCTAATGTTTTCATACCTCGTCCAAGGCATTGAACTATTTCACTCTTTTCAGCAGCAGAGAGATCCTTTTTCTTCCCCATATTGCTTGAAAATGGTGCTCTGCTTAATAATGTGGAACACCCTCCTTTAGTAGTTTTCCTTAAATTGGGCTCTCCGGCCAATCTAATTATCACAGGTGTCCGAGATTGTTTTCAGTGATCAAAAGAGCCCTGACACACAATGCCATCCATGAGTTAAACTGAAAAACAAACTATTTCATCTTTGTGACACTTAAATAGAATTTGCATAATAATTTGGAACAGGGTGTAAATTGTACATTCACATCAGTCCCTAACGCTTATGGAATGTACAATCTAAGATCCATAACTCTCATTCATAACACATACTAGGGCCAATTTATTAACCTATAGTAGAAATACTGCTACAGGGCAGGCATGGGTGCACAAAATCACGGACATTCACGGTCTCGGCTGTCAATCACCGGGTCCCGGCTGTTGATTCCTCGCCGGCACCCATACAAGCCATACAAAGCAGTGTGCTTACAGTGTAAAGCGCACACACTGCACACAGCGAAACAGCACACAGTTAACCCTTTGATTGCCCCACATGTTAACCTCTTCCTGCCCAGTGCCATTAGTACAGTGTCAGTGCTTTTATTAGCACTGATCACTGTATTGGTGTCATTGGGGATATCATTGACACCAAGTCAGTACCCCCCAGAGTTAGTTATTCCTGCTATAAGTCGCTGATCGCCGCCATTAAAGAATTTCAGTATATGTACCGCCATTTGTAAGCGCTATAAGTTTCACGTAAACCATCTTTTTTTTTTTTTTTTGCATAAAGTAGCAGAACACATTTTGCCCTAAATTTATGACAAACTTGAATTTTTTTTAATTTTTTTACTGTACTATAATGTTTAACAGCAAAAAGTAAAAATATTTTTTTTTCTCAAAATTGTCAGTCTTTTTTTGTTTATAGCGCAAAAAATTAAAAACGCACAGGTGATCAAATACCACCAAAAGAAAGCTCTATTTGTGGGGAAAAAAGGACGTAAATTTCATTTGGGTGCAGCATTGCATGACCACGCAATTGTCAGTTAAAATAACACTGTGCCGTATTACAAAAAATGGCCTGGTCAAGAAAGGGGGTAAGTCCTCTGGAGGGCAAGTGGTTAACCTACCAGCATGTCTTTGGTGGGGGAAAGGAAATCGGAGAACCCAGAGGAAACCCACCCAGGCAAATGGAAAACATGCAAAATCCATGCTGTAGTTGGGATTTGAACCAACAACTCCAGTGCTGCTAGGTGGAAGTATAACCACTTAGCCACCATGATGCCCATAATGAATTTTGTTTGGCAGTTATGGATCATTGCATTTAATAATTAGCGATTAAATGAACAAGCTGACGTTGGAAGCTGATTAACGACAATGCACATCTGCACCAGATTTTGCACTCTCCTATTTTACTAGTTTACTAGTTTACACAGTTTTCGCTAATAGTAACTTCAGCTTATATATTCATATGCACTGTTTAATGAACACGACTACTTATCACATAATTTTGTGTTGCATGTATGACATTTTTTAGAATTGTAATGGTTTTACTTTTTACCAAGCACAATGCTGGTCTAGTAAAGCTTTATTTTTTTCTTCATGTCTTATTTTCCTCTTTGTCTTTAATTTTCTAGAGATAACGGGTTTGACTACTTAGAGTTCCGCTTGTGGATTGGCTTGTGGTCAGCTTTCTTGTGTCTCATATTGGTGGCAACAGATGCTAGTTCCCTGGTCAAGTATTTTACACGGTTCACAGAGGAAGGCTTTGCCTGTCTTATCAGCTTCATCTTCATCTATGATGCATTTAAGAAAATGATCAAGTTTGCAGATTATTATCCAATCAACTCAGATTTTTCAGTCTATGATGTTACATTGTTTAATTGTGCCTGCATCCCGATGGATCCAAGTAAGTGTGCATGTAAAAGAATAAATTTAATTTCTGACATATTTCTGAATTTGATATTGACCTCCTGATATGAAATATGGCAACTGGGGATTTTCTTTCCTTTTTGTAAAGAGGTCTGTTTGCTCTCCTGTGCATTGCATACCTGTTTACTTTGGGATTACATGGTAAAATGTATTAATAATTTATTTTAATTTATTATTAAGTTATTCTGCATTTGCACAAGTAACCTAGTCAAAAGTTATATATTAACAAGTTTATTGCTGTGACTTGCTGTGTGCATACATTTACTTTTAAATGCCTTGATATTAAATGTATGCTCCTTACACTGCCTTATTATATAAACCAGTATAATTATAGAAATTCAAAATTAAATACCATATTACACTGTCAGTATGTGTTGAAGAGGGTTAGTGCCAGTTCACATATATGCAGTTTGAACTGCATCAATCCACATGACATGTGAAAAAACATTGCTTTTTATGGTGTCTGTTCACATATGTCCTGTGCACTGGTGGTGCGGATTCAGTGTGGTTCGAAAAAGAGTCATGTATGTTTTCTGAGCAGGGCCTTCAGTTTCAGGTATGGATTACAGGCTATTGACTTCTATGGGAACCGTTTCTGAATCGCATGTGTGAACAAGATAAAATCCTGGGCTAATTCTGTCCTGAACCTGATATAAACCTGACATGAACCGCTGAACAACTACTGTATCAATTAGCTGTGAAACCTGAGCTTCAATCCACACTGCACATGTGTGAATCAGCTTTTAGTGTTTATTTCATCTAATATAGTATAATTGTGTAACACTAATTAAATACAAATACATAAAAAAAAAATAATTAAAATGAATGTAATGCTAGTTTTGGATATATAGGCAAGAGTGGTCATCGTAACATAGATTTTATTATTATGATGTGTTAATGTTTTACATAAAGTTATACAACTGCATAGTCACATGCCATATAGCCACAGATGTTCCTAAACATAGGGTGCTTTGTTGGGCAAATGTTCAATAGCTTCTGTGGTCCAGAACTCATTCTCCCTCTTCCCAATTCCCACAACTAACTATTGATCAGTAAGGCTAACCATGGCAATTATGATCACAGGAGCTGCTTTGGCATTTGCATAGTAGGTTTTAGGGTTCCTGGCATACTCAATAAAGCATATGACTATTCACAGAGGCCTGCTGTATATGTCTAACAGTGTAAAATGATAGCTTAATGAAGATAATGAAGCTTAATTCTGGATTTTTTTTAAAAGGGCCCCCAAGTGTGCCCCAAACCTTCCTCACACTGCAGGGGGTAAATGCTCAGTAAGCCTAGGGGTAGAGGAATAAGCTGTAATACAAACCTTATTCCCTGTCTTGGTAGGCTTGTGGTGCTCTCATTTCCAACACACCTAGTTGTGTGAGTCCTCGGCATCCTCACTTACAAAGCAGAACTACTGGTTCTGCATTGAATTTGATGGTGTCAGAATGTGAAGAGGACAGGCTTTGGGGGATCAATCACACAGCTTAGTGAGAGCCTGCTGGAGCGAGGAATAAGGTAAGTATTACAGTGTATTTCTCTACCTCTAGACTTAATGTGAATTTAACCCTTGCAGTGTGCACCTTTTAAACGTTCAGCCTTAAAGCCGCTTTCACATGGAATGGACTTCAATCTGCTTGACCAGCAGGGGATCTATCTGCTGATTAACGCTAAGCAGGCCAATGACAGGCCCCTGTCTGCGCCACTTATGCAGACTGGACATGGACACAGACGGACCTGATTGGAACATTTGTGTTAAAGGGGCCTAAAAATGAACAGAGAGTGAACTCTGCATCCAGTCCATGGTTAATGCAAAAGGATCAGTTGTTTAGTAGAAGCATTTGAATTTTAGGCTTCTATTAAATTGATTGTAAACCCGCACCTTGTAAAAAATTAAAAAGCAGAAAAATTATGTATAGATTTAAAAAACATTCTGTTTTTAACAAGAAAGCAGAGGAACTGGCAGGGTCACCAAGTATTTCACACTAAAAAAATCAATAGAAAGAGAACAGGATGCTTTATCATACAAGTTCATGGTACAGCAAGCACATATCAGGAATATGAAATGTTGGGTCTACATATTCTTCAAAGGATAAGTTATTCTTTTGACCAAAAATAATAAATGCACTTTTTTTGCAGGTAAAGAAATTTGCATTTATTATTTTTGACTACAGGAACCTCTAAAACATTGCACCAGCAATCAGAAGATTGCTGGTGCCATGCAGGTCTCCTGCAGATCTGTCAGTATATAGTATCTGCTTGCCCATACAGGATGTACAGGTAAGCAGATATACTGACAGGAAGATTCAATGAGCTACCATGGCGCTCCACTGCGCCATGGTAATTCATTGAGAACTACAAGCCCATAACCACTAAGAATGTCAGCACTTGTAGTTCATGTAGTTAATTCATTCACAGAACACTGTAAATGAATGACGCCACCATGTGGGCGGACTGTGGAAGCACTGTTTTTAAATCTGAAAGCTAATACAAGGAACTTCTCCCTGTACTTCTGTCACAGGGGGAGGGGGGTTGCAGGCAGCAGCTGCAGCTTTGGGAACATGTTAGATGTTCCCAAAGGTGAACTTGTCCTTTAAACCTTTGAATTACCCATTGAGGGCAAATAATAGGTTTACTTTAATTCCTCCATCTTCAGTAGCATATTTGCTTACCCTTTTTTTCACTCCCCCACTGCTCCATTCAGAGCCTAAAGTTAAAGTAAATTCTTGGTACTTTGAGTATGAAGGAACATGTGACTCATTGCTTGAGAAAGAGCACTATCAGGGAAGGTCACATCCCTGTGTATCCCTGCATGAGCAAATCAGAGGTTCACTTTAAATTAAATTATAGTATGTATGTTGATTAAAGCAGAGCTATACTGACTTCCACTCCAGTGCTGCGGTGCCTCAGGAGCTCCCTGACTAGCTGCTGACATGTTCGGATGGTCTTCAGTCAGGTTCTGATCATTGGATGATTTGATTGGCCAGTCCACGAAGGCATCACTCCCATGCATGCGCTGGAGTTCATTCATCTCCTCAGATGCCAAAAGTGTACCCTGAGCTGTGTGTGCGGACAGGCAGGTAAGACATTTTAATGCAAAAGACATGACATGTCTCTTCTGCATAAAAAGCCTGCCTATTCACAAATATTTATTATTTTTAATTTTAAGTTACACCTTATTAAGACAGTCCATCACTGTACATGTTTCTTGTACTGAACAGCAAATGTGCACGTCAGATAAACCGTGATTGATTGAAGGCCTACTTGTTCTTGATGGAGCAAAGATCTAAATGTACACATAGCTTTTTTATATTTGAGCAGTCACAATTGATATTCTGGGTGCGCATCTACGCATACTTGGGAAATGTGTCTGTGCAGTTAAAGATCATTTGTTGAAAGAAAATCACTTTGCTTTGACCACGTTTAATAAGTAATTATGCACAAGATAATGCCTTCGCAATTAACCTTAAGATTTCTTAAACTTCTGAACCAGGAGAGTGGAATTACAATCATTTTTCAACAGACCACATGTTTAGCATTTCCTGTTGTGTCAACTACAAAAGCCAATGCATTAAATATTAAATACTTTCTGAAAGAAAAACAGCACAAAGTTCCCGCTGACTGTGGGAAAAGCCATGAACTGTATGTAGCGAAGAATGGTTTACATTTATCAGCCTAGATTCCAGCTTTTCTATTTATATGTGTTAATGTCATGCATTTGGACATGTACTTGAAATGTGTTTCGATGGATTTTAAGGTCCAGAGAGTGAGAAAGCCAGTACAGCCTACACATGTATACAAAATTTTAGATTTACCAAAAGAAAGTAGACTGTTGGCTTTGCAAGGGGATTTTCACTGTGCAGGAGAATTTTTACTTAGCTTAATAAATGAGGTTAAGCTCTGCTGACTTCCATTATCCAATCATGTGCAAGCAAAATAATAGTTTTTTTCTTATTTCCCTTGCATATGATTGAATACTGTCTTCAGAGTTACACCACATTCCCTAAGCTTGGGGAAATTCTCTTGCAAAGTGATCAGCCTATTTGTCTTTAGAAAATCATTCACTAGAGCACAGGACCCAGGAGTGATCTAATAGGGATCCACACTTTTACTAGATTACTTCATTGGAGATTGGGGGGTGACAGGATATAGTGGATCAGTGAATAAGGAAATCTTCAGTTACCTGTGAATTTGGCCAATCTAGGTTCAGTCTTGATTTGAGCAAACCAATTTCCATATGAAAACACATGACAGCAAGAGATGTGCAGATCAGGGTAAAAAGTTGCATAAGAACATAAGTGTATGTCCAGCCAAAACTTGTTTTCTTTACCACTTAAACTCCGGAAGGTTTTACCCCCTTCATGACCAGGGCATTTTGTTTGCTATTCAGCACTGTGCTGGTTTAACTGGCAATTGCTCAATCATTCAACACTGTACCCAAATTAAATTTATATCATTTTTTCACACAAATAGAGCTTTCTTTGGTGGTATCACCATTGGTTTTTTTATTTTTTGAAAAATGTAAAAAGATAAAAAATTTTCAAAAAAAATAATTTTTCTTAGTTTCTGTTATAACATTTTGCAAACAAATAATCTTTCTTCATAAATTTAGGCCAACATGTAGTCTGCTACATTTCTTTGGTAAAACAAAACAAATCAGTGTATATTGATTAGTCTGTGTAAACGTTATAGACAATATAGTCTACAAATTATGGTATAGCTATATTTCAAAATAGATTAATCCAGATGTATTGACAGTCTGTCTCATTTCTTGAGGCCCTAAAATGCCAGGACAGTACAAATACCACCCAAGAAAGTAGACAGTCCAAAGGGTATTTAGTAAGAGGCAAGGCAAGTCTTTTGAAATTGTAATTTTTTGTCACAATTTTTTTTTTTTTTGGAAAGTAAAGAAATTAAGTACAATTTGTTTTTTTTTTTTTTCTTTTTGTTAACAATTTTTTTACATACTGTCATCAGAGTAGTTCAGTGTCATCATAGTAACACTGTACTAATTTGGAGGGGGGTGATCATGGATGTTTTCTCTTTTTAAACTGTGAATGCTTATAACAATGTTGATCACTGCCATAAGCTATCGTTTTAACTGTCATGAATGGCTTTAATTCATGACAGCTTGCTTGCTATTGTGATGCTGTGATTGGCTACAGATATTATACAGTACAAGGCCTCTGTGAATGGCCTTGTACTATGTGACTGATCACAATAGTAAGCAAGCTGTCATGAATGGCTGCCATTCATGACAGTTTATGTTTACATGTCATCATGTGATCGCTATGATTAGTCATTTTGGCTTGACATTTATTCTTCCTTAAATAGTTACAATTTTTAAAATTATTCTGGTTTTCTGAATGTCTGAGAAATATGCATATATATGCATGCATGTATATCACAAAAAACTAAAAAATCCAGTGGTGATCAAATACCACCAAAAGAAAGCACTATTTGTGTGAAAATAGGACATACATTTTGTTTAAGTACAGCATTGCATGACCATGCAATTATCAGTTGAAATAGCGCAGTGCCGAATAGCAAAAAATGGCCTGATCATTAAGGGGGGGGGGGGGAATCTTCTGGAGGGCAAGTGGTTAAAATAGAAATGAAAGGTAAAACATTTGAGTATAGATTAAAAAAAAAAAACACCCCCCCCCTTTTTTTAAGTGATCACATGTCCTCTGGAGTGTTCTCCTGCTTAGTGTGGTCAGTTCTTAATAGGAAAGCAGAGGGACTGGCAGGAACACCAGGGATTTCAATACAAAGAGAACAGGTTACTTTTTCATACAAATACATGGTACAGCAGGCACATACAAGGAATATGCTGGGTTTGCATACTCTTTAATCTCTCAAAATCTATGCTATTTATAATTCCTACACCTTTTGGCTTCACTATGTACAAGTGTGAATGTATGCTTCCTTGTGTATGTGATATCTACCAAGAGCATGTTCATAGTAATCTTGTAATATTATTTACCAGGGATTACATTAAGGAGGGATTTGCAGTTGGGAGTTTGAAGATTATTTACTGTGTATCCCCACAATTATGATGCAGTTCACATGCTGTATACCTGTCTTCATTATTTTTTAAAAACAGTGGACTTGTTTACACCATATGTGCATAAAATTTCATTGAAAAAACGCACAGAGCTGATGAGCATAGATACCTATTTACATGCATTTTTATGTGCATTTCAGTGCATTTGTAAGCATCTTAATATTCTGCTGAAGTGCGCTTTTTTTCTTGCATTGTTAACCTTTATCTGCTGCTATCTCTTCCTGTTACCTTTTATGGGTAGAAAGATAGACGTACATTTGTTTTTTCCCCCTTTTATTACGCTATGTTTATGCACACGTGTGCATTTTCTATGTGTGTTGCGGAAAAATACAGAAACATCTGTGCCCTTGCACAGACCTGCGTTTTACAGATGCAGAAAAATGCAGGTCTCTGCACATGGTGTGAACAAGATCTGAAATATGTTGAACATTAAAAATAAATTCAAATAAAAACACTACATAAACAAACGCTGATTTTTGTTATATGTGATGAGGATATGGCAATAAACTAAAAACATTATGTTGCAGGTAACAGCTCATTTTTTAATGAGACCACAGAAGCTCCCCTGGAATTCTTGACTACCACTGAGGATCCAGTAAGTATCTTAAAGTGATTTTACAGGCCCAGGTTTTATTTTGTTAAATAACAAACATACTTATAGTACCTGCTCTGTGTAATGGTTTTGTACAGAGCAGCCCTAATCCTCCTTTTCTGGAGTCCACCGCTGGCTCTCATCCCTGCTTGCTCTGAGGGCACTTGTTTGTGCTAGCTCCCTGTTCATAAGACTTACAGTGTGTGACTTGGCCTGCCCCCCACTCCCTCCCCACTGGCCAATGTCTCCAGCCACTGTCTCTAAGCCAATGAGATGTGAGAGAGCCGACAGAGCCTCAGCTGTCATGCACATCACTGGCTCAGGTGAGTATGGGTGGGGGCGGTGGCTGCAGGGGAAGCTGCACTCAGAAGGTTTTTCACCTTTATGAACAGAGTGCAGGAAGGTAAAAAACCTTCTGCCTTTACAACCACTTTAAGTTAATAAGAGTGCCTTTAATATAGAAAAGAATGCAGGGCTTGAATGCCAAGAGCTGGGATCTTAAAGCAATGAAATTAGAACTGAAGAAGAATTGTCACTGTCACGATTGTGGCGTCAGACCCCAGACCTTCTCACCCAAACTCGTGACCGAAGGACTAGCGGCTAGCCGATCTAAAACGGCAATGTGACGTGCGTAACAATGCCACACCCAGCTGCACCCTGCACACTGATTTTCCAGCTAATGGGCCACAATCGATGTACCGGCAGCCTAGGCGATTGTTACTGGGTCAGGGTATTTACGCAATTAACCCTTCACACTGCCACCACCTCCTTTTTGTACAGAGAAAGAGGAAACTCGACGTTATCAGCTATAACACGATAACGATTGAGATAATCGTCTGTATAAAACGGTCATAACACAGGCCTGTTATACAGAGGGTTAAGCAAACAGTAGCGTTCTCTTTAGAGGCAGGGATTCGTAAATTGCAATACAGAGCTATAGAAACAGTTCAACACTTTCAGAAAGAAAGATTTATTACTAAAAGGTCAAACGGGTGCAATAAAAATATTTACAGAAAAAGGATGTAACTAAGATATATATATAAATATACAGAGAACCATAGCACAGCAAAGAGATATCAGAGAGAGGTGAAAGGGTTAAAGTACTTGCCAAAGTCCTGGGTTAGCAGATCCAAGGTTCAGAGCAGAAGGGTGCTTTGATCTCCCTATGTTACAATGGTCAATGGGAAATTCTTCAACTTCCTACTCTTAGGCCTGACAGCCTGTTTTGTAATCCCCAACAGGGGGTGGCTCTGTAGTCAAGGACCAATCTCCGCTTAGGGCGTGGAGAGATGGGTGGATGCCTCAACTAGAGCAAAAATTTCCCATAACTCATATTTGGCCTATAACTTTTCATCTGCACAAGTGACACTCAACCCGCGGGTAGATTATTATGCAGACAAGTCTGAGGATTTATTAGATATGAATTATGAAAGTGTGTACACTGAACGGTTCGCGAGATCTATTTTTCTGCTTTACTGTGTGTCCGAGACAAGGCAAGTGACCCACCAAAATGTTCGGCTCCTCTTAGCCCATCTGGCGAAAAGCTCGGTTTTTATGTAAGTCTCTCATATTCCAAGATATGAGACATAGGGGGAAAATGGTTTTAACAGAGGTTATCTGATTCTGTCACCTACACTGAGTTAGGTTTTATTAGGTTGGAATCTCTCTCAACTCTGGAGAAAGCTTGCCTTATCTCTTCCGAGGTGTGAAATGGGACAGCTCACCCAGACAGCTAGGCACCTAGCTCAGATATGCCTTGGCCTGCCAGTGACCCATAACCAGCACACACACACACACACACACACACACACACACACGCTGACCAGATGTCTCCTCTCAGAGCGGGAGGGGGTGAGGGGAGAAAAATGGATACTCTTAACAAAATGGCGGACTGCGTCAGTCTCTGTCGCGCACGTCACAACCAGTTGCCAGTTATATTGTTGAATCCCCCAGGCTGCTCCATGCACATAGCACTTGGTCCTGTTCAGATCTGCGCAGTGGTTCTGAAAAATTCAACATTTTTATTTCTGTCTGTCACTCCACACCAGGCTGAAGCTCAATTTATGAACTTTCCTGTGAAGAAGTTACAGCCATCACTGAATCCAGTGCCCCCTCTTAATTATGTAGTCTTTCATCTCCTCTTTCAGCTCTGTCATCTTCTGCCATCTTCCTTCAACAGAAAATAAATTCCTTGCATTGATATAAAAAAGACTGAAATACTTTCTTATATTAACAGAAAAGATTGAGCCCAGACCCAATCACTTATTCTTGGAAGAGAGACTACAGTAATAACTGTCAGCTTGTGCTGTTGTGAATGCTGGAGAGGATCGGCATCATTCACAAAAACACAAATTTACAACAACACACGCAAGCTTCTACCTTAGTCTGTTTGGCAAGAATATTGGGAAGGTCTTAGCTCAGTTGCCCAAGAGAGACCACTGTAGTAGCTGGCATGTGTTGCTGTGGGCTAGTGTTTTGTGAATGATGGCACTTTTCTTCAGTGCTGTCCATTAACAACAACACCAGCAGACAGTTACAACTGTAGTTTTTCTCCTCCGAAATAGCAGGAGGCTAGTGTGCAAGTCTGGGCTCTTTGTTTTCAGGGCAAAAAGGGAGCAGAGGAGGCACAGGGCTGTACAATTAGATGGAGTGATTCAGATGTTCTATCCTGGCAGCTTTCAGAGGAGGAATGGGCAGGGATTGTGCAGGCTGTCAAGAGCATGCTAGCTCAACAACCACTGCACAGATTTGAATGGGAACAAGTGCTATGTGCCCTGTTTCCCCTAATGGATTTAGGAAGGATTTTCAACTTCAGGCGATACTTGTTATTTAAGGGTACTCTTGTGAACTAGTACAGCAGGGAGCCACTAGCAATTTCTTTAGAAGCTATCAGATTCAGAAAACTCCAACAGGGAGTCAGAACTAATTACAGTAGATACTATTATATGCTGAGGCGAAGATGGGTGGTAGAGACTTGCTCATAGTAAATAAATGAGAGCCCTACATGTTAGCTCACATAATTACTATACATTTTCAGATACACTCTATTATGTTTTAGGTTTAAATCTTCTTTTCCACTAGCACTGTTTAGGCCCAAATGTATAGTGCCAGATATATAGGATTAAAAATTGGTACGCCTGTGATTTGGCAGCACATACTTTATGTGTTGCAGGAACCCAGTATTTTGGGAAAGAATAGTTATTCTTTCAGGGTGCTTGTCCACAATGTGTAAAAAGATTTTTGCAACTCTTTAAAATTAAATATGCATTTTATAATTCCTGGTGCTGGATTGAAGTTCTGTTTAGTGCTGCTGTGGGTACTGCTATGAAGTTATATGTTCTAAATTAGGTGATTCTGTTATGTCAGTCATATGTATTCTTCCTTACAGTACCACAACCACACCATTGAATGGTCATCTCTGAACAAAAAGCAATGTCTGAAATATGGAGGCCAGCTTGTTGGCAGAAGCTGTAAATTTGTTCCTGACATCACTTTAATGTCTTTTATCCTGTTCTTTGGCACCTACACATGCTCTATGGCTTTGAAAAAGTTCAAAACCAGCCGCTACTTTCCAACCACAGTGAGTATCTAAAAGAATTGAAAAAGATAAAGGTATAGACAAGTATTTTACAGATTTCTGCTGTTACCCACTAACTGCTGCTATGAATACCTAACTGAGAATAAATTAATGATTACATCTTGTTGAGTTGAGGATTGATTACATATATGACAAAAGGTTTCTTTTGTCATATCACAAAAACTTGCGAAAAGCACTCAGAAACATAATGTGATTATGCCAGCAACATAATAATGATGACAGCAGTATACATATATACTGTAATGATGACAGCGGTGATCATATGTCATGGTGACAGCGGCATACATATAATATAGCCGCAACATCTACATACTATTACAAGATCCCACGCAGGTTATAGTATGTAATAGATACTACGCAGGTAAAGTTATAGATGTGTATACCCTGCACATGTGGCCTGCATTTGACATCACTAAATGTGCCACAAGTATCCCATAGCGCAAATGACACACATATTGAAATTATGGAGGCTTGGAATACAGCATCTCATAAAGGTGGAGGCATTTACCATTTAAAGCCTCTAGCCTCCCCCCTTCATCTCTCCCCTCCTCTGACCTTGCAACGGCACTGCCCCCCACCACACCCAAGGCCCTGCCTACCGTAACCCCCCCATCACTGCACTCCTTCAGCCCTACTACCACTGAGGAAGTCACCAGAGTCTTCTCAGAAGCCCGCCTCACTACCTGCCCCCTGGACCCTATCCCCTCTCAACTCCTCCGGTCACCCCCCTCTTCCCTCATCCGCTCCCTTACCCACATCTTCAATCTCTCCCTCTCTACTGGCGTCTTCCCCTCCCCCCTAAAACATGCGCACATCACCCCCATACTCAAAAAGCCCTCCCTGGACCCCACTGACCTCAACAACCTCAGACCAATTTCCCTGCTGCCACTCACGTCCAAGCTCCTTGAGCGCTTGGTCTACGATCGCCTATGCGCCCACCTAACTGACAACAACCTCCTTGACCCACTACAGTCCGGCTTCCGTCCCCTACACTCCACAGAAACTGCCCTCCTCAAAATCACCAACGATCTACTAACCGCCAAAGCCAAAGGCGACTACTCTGTCCTCCTTCTCCTAGACCTCTCCGCGGCCTTTGACACAGTCGACCACCCCCTCCTCCTTAATAAACTACTCTCCCTTGGCATCAGAGACACCGCTCTCTCCTGGTTCTCGTCCTATCTATCCCAACGCTCCTTCAGCGTTTCCTACAACGGCGCCACCTCCTCTTCCCTCCCCCTCTCTGTTGTGGTCCCCCAGGGCTCTGTCCTTGGACCCCTTCTCTTCTCCATCTACACCTCCTCCCTTGGCAAACTCATACACTCCCACGGCTTCAACTACCACCTCTATGCTGATGATACTCAAATCTACCTATCCACCCCTCACCTCACCCCCACATTCTCCGCCCGCATCACTCACCTCCTAAACGACATCTCTGACTGGATGTCGCTCCATTTCCTCAAGTTCAACCTCTCCAAAACCGAGCTTCTCGTCTTTCCCCCTTCCCGTACTCCCCCCCCATCCTTTCCATCACTACCAACAACACCACCATCAATCCTGCCCAGCAAGCCAAGGTCCTTGGCGTCATTCTGGACTCAAACCTTTCCTTTCAACCTCATGTCAAATCACTCACAAATACATGCAGGCTCCACCTCCGGAACATCGCCAGGATACGCTCCTTCCTTACCCCAGACACCACTAAACTACTCGTACACTCCCTGATTATCTCACGCCTTGACTACTGCAACTCCCTCCTCACCGGCCTACCCCAGTGCAAACTCTCCCCACTTCAGACCATCCTGAACTCAGCTGCCAGACTCATCCACCTCACCAGCCGCTCCACCTCTGCCACCCCCCTCTGCCTCTCCCTCCACTGGCTCCCCATTGCCCAACACATTAAATTCAAACTGCTCACTCTGACCTATAAGGCCATGCACAACACTGCCCCTAACTACCTCACCGACCTGATTCCCAGGTACCACCCTACCCGTACCCTTCGCTCTTCACAGGACCTCCTTCTATCTTGCTCCCTGGTCTCCTCCTCCCACGCACGACTGCAAGACTTCTCCAGGTCCTCCCCCATCCTCTGGAACTCACTACCCCAATCCATCAGACTGTCACCTTCCCTCCTCACCTTCAGGCGCTCCCTGAAAACCCACCTCTTCAGGGAAGCCTACCCCACCCTCACCTAACAGCCGCTGCCCTTCCCTCCTCCTACCACTCCATCCCCCACAGCCTTTTCCTCCTATACCTCTACCCCCTCCCTCCTAGATTGTAAGCTCGAAAGAGTAGGGCCCTCTTACCCCTTGTGTGCTGTTTGATGTTACTGTACTGTTTCATGTATTGTCCCCCTCTATTGTACAGCGCCAAGCAAACCCTTTGGCGCTATATAAACTCGATAAATAAATAAATAAATAAATAAATGGGGAGTGTGGAATTCAAGCGTAGCAGTTACTGTAGAGGGTACAAGCCCTTTTATACTGTAAGGGTCTGTCTTGCTCAAGTCCTTTTTGGGCAAGGCAACAATGATTCCCAGAGCCCTCTACTCTTTCTTTTTAGCATTTTTGAGTTTAGCTGCAGTTAGATGGTAAGTGTGAAAAGTACGAAACAATACAAAACAGAAACATCTCATCTAAGAGCTTTCACTACTATACATAAAAACTGAATCTTTAAATCATGTAACTCTACAAGAGGTAGAATTTGGGGGGGGGATTTGGTCTTTTGTAGAAATGTATATATCCTGTCTTTATTCTGACTGTCGATCTGGGTTCATTTAAAGTCTCAGTTTCCTGCTGTGTGTGTCATCCAGCAAGCGATACCAGTACCCTGCCTTTTGGAAATGTGTGTGATCATGCAGGGCATTGTGAAACTACGGGAGCAGAACATATATTCACATTACCTGCAGTCACTTAATTAAAGTATCAGGTTGTTGAAAATCCACTCAAGTAAACTCTTTCCGGCATCAGAATATTTTTTTTGAGGTCAGCAAAATGGAAATTTTAGCTTGGGTTGAGAAAACTTGAACCAAATTGTTCTGCATAAAATGTAGCTAAAACACAATGAAGCAGGTGTATCTTAATATCTCTTTGTATTATCTTAGCAGATGTATTTTTAATATCCCTTTGTAAGCCCCACACTATGAAATATATAACTTGCTTACTGCAGCGTTTCCTGTTAGTTTAACTAAGCACAAAATGTACAGTATTGTGACAAAAGCAAAACTATACTTAATATGGATCCAAAGCAAAACCTATATGGGGCCCTCTGGCTCTCCAGGCCACATCAAAGTTTCCTACCAGTTAGACCTTTATCATTATAATGTGGTAAAAAAGTTTAAATCATTCTGGCAGAATTCAGTTAGTCCCATGTTTTCCCAAGTTATATTCTGACTGATTAATAAACCTTTATATAATAAGCAAGAGGGGCTTCAAGACATGTGTGCCTGGGACCTTGTGTGCTAATGGGTCTCTTAGCCTAGGCTATTGTTATGTGTTTAATTAGAAATCGTAGACATGTTTCATTAGTAATATGTGCCTGATCAATCCTTATTACAATATAAATCCAAACGTGTACAAATGTACTGTGTCTGCTTTAAATATAATGATCGACCTTACACTTTGATACTTATCTCTGTGGGTCTTTTTCATACTATAGGCCAGAAAACTGATCAGTGACTTTGCCATCATTTTGTCCATTTTGATTTTCTGTGGAATTGATGCTCTTGTTGGAGTTGATACACCAAAGTTGATTGTCCCAAGTGAATTCAAGGTGAGTACAATATGGTTTTTTTTATTGCTATCTGTTTTTCCCTATTTACCCTCTCTAATTGTCCTGGTGACCATTGTCCAGGGATAGAAAGTGATGGAAAATCCAAAATTTTTGCAGTTGTCCCTGGAACAGGAATAAATGGGAATCTTCCGTCAGGGATGCCTGTTCTGGGGACAGCTGTCGATAAGAGGATTTTCCCACACTTTCAAAATATTTCTCTTACATGCTATTAGTGTCATTGGTAAAGTGAAGAAAAATATTTGCAGTGAGACAGTAATAAGCAAAAAAAAAAAAGGGGTTTTTAACCTTTTCCTGGTACAAAACTTTGCATATGACACACATCTGTTTGTTTAATAATGTAAATCCGGCATGTTTACCTTATAGATCAGGGATATTTGGTTTGTTATAACTGCATAAAACAGACCTGTCACAATCTGTGGCTTTTATTTTTTGGTTTACTACAATGTGCTAAGAGCACCAACATAAAGTAGAAAGAAAGGATTGTTCTGTAGTGTAGACTGACACTAGCCTGACTACAATTTGCACTGCATACATTTACTGCCCCCATGGTGCAACAAAGATAACACGCTTTGATTAAATGACAAGGGCAGCCTGAGATGAATGTCCGGTTTTTTGATGTTCCTTTAAGCTAGCTATATATGCATAGATTTTTTTTTTGTTCGGCCAGCAGCTCGAACAAAGTAAATCTAACAGACACCAAACAGCACGGATGGACAATTCTCTCTTGTCGGCTATTGTATTTTGGCAGTGTGCACCCATGACTGCCAGAATACCTAGATATTGGCTGCAGTTGATTGGATGCAGTCACTGTTCAGCCAACAATTTTCCACTGGCTCTTTTGACAGAAGTTGGGTGTTGAATCACCAAAAATTTGAGCTCTGTATGGCAGCTTTTAGAGTTCTCCATCCCTTTCTGGTGCCTGCCCTCACCTTTGAAATCACTATGACTGACACCAAGTTTTGAAATTCAGCACTAGTGTGAACGAAAGACTGGCAGAGCAACTTCAATGTATTGGATATGCAAGTGAGTAAAATGTGCACATTTCCACCTTCATTTTCTTCTCATAGAAGAAATAGATTTTAGTAGAAGTCTTTAAATAGAGCAACACTTGCCAAGAAAAAGAGTTTGCCGCTCACAAAATATTTTTTCCCTTGCAGAATCAGTAACTAGAACCAGACCAAGCTAGATAAACTGTTCACCTCACTAAATATACAACTTTTTCCCTTTAAGCCAACAAGTCCCAACCGAGGCTGGTTTGTCCCCCCCTTTGGAGGAAACCCTTGGTGGGTGTATCTGGCTTCTGCTTTGCCGGCTTTACTCGTCACCATCTTAATCTTCATGGATCAACAGATTACAGGTGTCATCGTCAACAGGAAGGAACACAAGCTAAAGGTGCGTCTTTAATATTGGCTCTCCGCATTTCTTCACTTCTCTATCAGAGACCACTGAAATATTAAACAGCATGCTACAGACACCATTTATTTATTTATAGTCAGTCACAGAACTGTTTCCAAACAGGCAGCAGGGTTATATTACTGAAAATTTCACCGGGAGTTTGCAATTCCATCCATCTTTACTTTTGCCCTATGCAAACACCTTTCATTACCTGGCATAGTAAAATCTAGAATACAGGTTAATGGAAAACTACTACTATTTTCACTAATATCCAGGATAGCACTACCAAATATACTGTATTCTTTCTTGTCTAATCTTAGATTTTCAAAGCAGTGAGCAGTATATGTTCAAGTCCCTTAACCTTGCCCCCTGAAAATAGTGTATGCAGGTAGTGATGTAGAGGTGTCGTTAGCATACACTCAGGGCAGTGGAAGCAATTCATGATGGAAACATTAATTGCTGGTCTCTCTCACTAGCCCCTATGTTAAAGAACTGAGTGGATGAGAAATATGAGTGGAATCAGTGTCAAATTGTTGGTCCTTAGTGCTGAACTCTAGGCTAAGTGTTCAGAAATACATATAAAGGAGCTATTCTATCTACCCATAGATTTTGTATATCCATCAACTCCTGGGATTTACTCTTCCCTGCTATACAGCACAGCCCTGTCTGGCAGGACAGGCAACCTATTTTTTCTCTGCTGTTGGTAAATAACATTTGTTACACATGTCTTGTCCCTCCCCAGCCTGTGTTTGGACAGTGCAATGAGAAGCAGCAGACTTCTTCTCTCAGTCACTCTACTCTCTTCTCTCAGTATCCTGCCTGTGACCACATGGTCACTGCAGCACAGCTTACTGATTCTTATGCTGCTTCTCCCTCTTCTAGTCTGTATAGGGAGCTGCAAGAGGCCAGGTGAAATTTAGATATGAGGGGTGTGTCAAGTCAAACCGGGTCTTTTGAGTTTATATAATCAAAGAACAATTTTTAAAGAGTGTAAACTGCATTTATTTTTCGACACACTCCCCTGCTACTATTATACACTTATACCAGCATTTAACTAATGCCTGGAAATCTTTTGCATAGAAAGATTTGTCAGTACACCTGAACCATCCTAGGACAGCCTACTTCATGTCATCATCAGTGCTGAAATGCTGACCACAGAAAGATGCGTGTCTTGTGCAATTTCACAACAGGTTATGCGTTGATTATCCAAGATTAGGAGTTCCACATGCTGATTGTTCACAGGAATGACTGCTGTGGGCTGGGAACCACCACGGCCAGGATCATCACTGACGGACATACGGCCATCTTTGAAATGTTTACACTATTCAAATGTCTTACTATGGCTGAGTGTCTCATCACCGTATTGTGCTTGAAGTCTTTTGTAGATATTCGTGGGTTAAAACCTTCTTTTACAAGAAACTTCATCACCAAATGCTGTTCCTTGCACTGTTGTCTGCCATCTTGATTAACAGTCTCTGCACTGGCCTGTGACATGCCTATCAGTAATACGACACACTTGCAACTTACTACTGCGTGTAGTACCACCACGCTGGCATCCCTTTTTATACTTATAAAATTAAAAATCTCGGTTTGACTTAAATGCTCCTCGTACTTACATTACTTGTATTAAAAAAATAATGTCTTCATAAATACAGGGTTTTCCCTAATACCTGCTAAGTGTTTAGCTTAAATCTTCACCTTAGCTAGGAGTTTTATGTCATATTATTGTGAGAGTAGTTCAGAAGTTAGTAAGGAGGAGCTCCATACTTGTACTACAGCAGCAGTCATCCTGATTATTATTATACAGGATTTATATAGCGCCAACAGTTTGTGCAGCGCTTTCCAATATAAGGGAGACAGTACAATTACAATACATTTCAGTACAGAAGGAATAGGAGGGCCCTGCTCGTGGAGCTTACAATCTAAAGGATGATCTACTATAGCTTATATAGATAGCTTAAAACATAAGAAAATGTATATTATTGGATATTCTAGACACTTTCAATCTATTTTTTACTTTTCACTTATAACAATGTGAGATAAATCAGATTAACGTGTTATTATATATTTCAATATCATTCATAGTGTTAGGCTTTGCATACCTCTTAGGAATCTAAAATAATATTTTAACCAGTTTTTTTCAACTTTAATTACTTTTGGAACAATTCAGATCTATACATGTATTATTTACTCATAGATCAATCAAGTATCACATGCACTACAAATGAGACTCTGTCAAGTGCAGTGATTGTTCTGGTTAAGCAGGGTGGAACTGACATGTTGTGAGGTTTGAACATGTCATGCTCAGTGGAAGACCTTTATTCTCTGTTCCCCAGATCACTTTCAGTGTCAATTAGTGACTTTAGCCTGTTGTAAATTCACAGGACATAAAGAGTAATTCACTTCAATCCAGACATCGCTCTGGTTAGAATAATGAAGTCTCTTCGCTTTCCTGATATTCTTATATGTGCAATTTTATCCATTACTTCCTGAATTCTCAGATGTCTCCTGTGAATTACTCCTTGCAGTTTGTAGTAGCATTCCATCACTGGAACAATAGCTGCATTTTGCAAGACCCCACATTAATAACATATATGTAGTCATTATATCTTCTCTACAATCACTGCACAGATACTCCTTAAAATGGGTATTGTTGGCAGACATAAAAAATGAAATCTCTGATGTTTCTGCTGTTATGACCACAAAAATAATAGTGACCTGTTTGTTTTGCTTTGAATTAAATAATTCATCTGTCTTCATTCATAGAAAGGAGCTGGGTACCACCTGGACCTGTTTTGGGTGGCTGTGCTGATGATTGTGTGTTCTTTCATGGCTCTTCCTTGGTATGTGGCTGCAACTGTCATCTCTATTGCCCACATCGACAGCTTGAAAATGGAAACTGAGACATCAGCTCCAGGAGAGCAACCAAAGTTCTTGGGAGTAAGGTACTACTGAAAAATAAATACACACAATGATGGACAAAGACTACACTTGGGCAAAAACCATCTTGAGCCCCATTGAGTTTCTGTCTTTCATCGTGTGTCCTCTTGGCAAAATACCATATGTTTTCTAGGTGTTGGTCAGCATGTTGCTTCCCTTCTCTGACACTCTTATATTACGCTGTGACGCTCTGTCCTTCCTGATATTAAAGTTACCAAACTTATGTAATCAATTGTCAACACGCTCACTCATGGCACAGGACCAGTTAAACATAATAGTTATAGTTACGTTCTGATCTCTCTACAGTTTATTGTTGAGGGACAAGGCTCCTCCAATATTTCCTTCATTATTCCTTCTGCCTTTTACTACCTTGGTGCAGCTACGCAGACTGCAGGAGCAGTGTGCCTGTTCCTGAACTGTATGTGTGTGCAGGGAATAATTTAGACAATACGCTGCCCTAGCTACATTTAAATGATGTCACTATTATATTGTAATGCTAATTATTAGCAAAAACTATAGAATGCTCTATTAAAGACATCATGAGATCTGATATAGTCATTGTTACTTTTAAACTGCATGACCTGCTAAACAGGACAATGGAAAGATTGTTTCATTCCTTCTGACCCATTTGTACATCCTCTGCACCCCTTTCCCCTACAATTTTGTTGCTGAGATTAAACACAAATCTCCAGAATTTGGGAATTAAAAAAAAAAAGTTAAAACCTATCACAATTTGTACATTTCAAGAGCTGCTGCTGCCCCTCTAAGCCAACTGCCCTAGACACTGCTCCACAAGTGTCATTGTGGTAAATACAGCCCAGTGTTTTTTTTTGTTAAAAATTACACTGGGCGAATTTGCTAAGTGTGGAGCAGACAGAATCTGGAGCTGTGAATAACAAACAATCAGCTTCTGTTTTTCATTTTCAAAGCTTTACTGAACAAGCTGAACCTAGAAGCTGATCGGTTACTGTGTAAAACTGCTTCAGACTATATCTGCTCTAGTTTTAGAAATTTGCCTTCACTACATACAGTATAATATTAGCAGGCAATAATTACTAGTGCTTTCTAAATGGTTGTTGTGCATTACTTCAGTATGCATATAACTAATTTATCTACTAAAATTGTGTATTTAGTGTATGTTTGAAGTATTGGCAGCCTTTCCGTTTATTTTTAATATTTCGCTTAGATGCAGTTCACACCAGAATGCAGTGCAGGAAACCTGCTTTCCGTGCGTGGTTCCTGCACCACATTCAGAATGTGCTACACTTGTGTTCTGCAGCAGGTGTCAGTGCAATGCTAATGACATCCCAAACACGGGTCATAAACACAGTGCATTTGCACTGGATTGTATGGTAAAAAAGAACCATGCAATCTAGTTGTTCTGTGTTTTGTAAAGTAGCCCATGCACTACTTTTGCTGCGGTCTGGCATGATTTCAGCTCATTCAAATGAATGGGCTGAAATCACAGTGCATTTGGATCCCATGTGAATCACGGTGTGAACCGGGCCTAAACAAAATTCCCGCACCACATTCAAATCACACTACCCTTGCAATCTGCAGCGGGTGTCAGTACAATCTTAACGACACCCCAAATGCAGCGCATTTGCCTGCACCGGATTGCATTGTACAATACGACCGTGCAATCCGGTTGCAGTGCGGTTCCAAAATTGTTGCATGCATGACTTTGGTGCAATGTGGTGCAATTTGGTGCAGAATTTGAGCACCCGCATGTGAATTGAACAGGATTGACTGTGCAATTCATATGCAATTTATAGTTTGAATCAAGGCTTAATGTTTTATTTAGAGTCCTTTGGATTTAATTAGGCTGTACAGTATGTATATCCAAAACATTTTTAAAATTTGGAATACAAAATCCCTGTCAATTTTTATCGTTTGCTTTCAGTGTTTCGTTGGGAAAATTTCCTTTCACTTCTGACTCAACAGAAAATGATAGAAACTCTCCACAAAGTGAAAGGAATTACCCACTTAGACAAATATCACCGGAAAATATGTTTTTATTGCATGGGAACACATACAGGAATAAACGCTTAACAGAGATTCAAACCCTTACCCATTCTATCCAAAACAAGGGAACAAATACTCTCTCTATGTTCTTTAATAAAAGAATATTCTTCAGTTAATGATATTTAGTGATATTTATATTCTGCTGAACAGAGTTAACCATTTACTGTTTGTTGCAGGGAGCAGCGAGTTACAGGTATTGTTGTGTTCTTACTGACTGGTATATCCGTCTTCATGGCACCCATATTAAAGGTAACCATGCAATGCATATGTATCATTTTCATCACAAGTGCATTTATCAAAATCCGTAATCTGTGAATGTGGTGGCTGCATAAATATTTTTTAGGGCTTTTTCTTTCTTTATTTTTCAGGCCTGTAATAAACTTCTTGTCCTTAGGCTGTCTCTGCTGTGGATGCAGCAGCAATGGAGACACCCTTGGACAGCAGCATTGTCAATATGAGGAGAGGATACTGTTAGATATGCTAGCAGGTTTAGATGGACTTGGCTAACAAATTAAAATTGAACTCCAGCTAACACTTTTTAGGCGTCATGCACAATGGACATTTTCACAGCTGCTTCTAGGGGTATCTGGCATTTTTTTCCTGCATCTAAACTCCCCTGTATGTTAGCCTATGGGCTTGATTTACTAAAGAGAAATAGGCTGTGCACTGCAAGTGCACTTGCAAGTGTACTGAAAGTACAGTTGCTCTAGATCTGAGGAGAACATGCAAGCAAAATAAAAAAAAAAAGCATTTTTTCTTTCACATAATTCGATGAAAGAAATCAGCATAGCTTCGCCTCATTTCAGAGCTTCCCCTCAAATATAAAGCAACTGCACTTGCAGTGCATAATATATTTACCTTTAGTAAATCAACCCTTATGTGTCCATGCACACATAAACATTTAGAGGCAGGAAAAAACCCATTGCCAGTGCGTCCAGGGGCAGCAGAGTTTTGGCAGAAAAAAAATGTTTAATGCTTCTAAAGGAATGTAAACGCATGTAGATACTTGTTAATGCTAGGCGCGTTTAGTGTTTGAGTGTTAATTAATTTCAAGGGCCAGAATAAATTATTTATTCTGGCCAGTGAAATGAATTAACTCCTAAATGCTTGATGCAGCTAAATGTGTCTAAACAAGGTACACACTTTTACAAGTATCAGGCATTTTTTTCTGCCAAAATGCTGCTGCCTGAAGGAAAGGAGAGTTAAGAAAACATCCTGTGTGCATGAGGCCTTAAGCAGTTACAGCAAGCAGTTTTTTTTTCCTTTTTGGATAAAGACCATTGTAAGCACCCCTGTCAGTGGTAAATGGTTTGTCTCAACTTTCTAACTGCCACTTTTGCTGGACAGCTTGGTCGAAAGGAAGATAAAAATAACAGACCTAGTGACCTAGATCATCAGGTGAAAATAAAGGGGAAAAAAAGCCTAAAAAAGCCAGCCACTACAGCTACAGATTGATAGGCTCCAATATATTACATGTTTTTGTGTTGTTACCTCTTTAGAAAGAGGTGAAAGGCACTTTGGAATTAGATGAGTGGGTTCAGTCATTTATTACTATAATGTAACATTTTGTCTGCAGTATTCCAAGTACTTTGTAGAAAAATGTGCATGAGGATTGAAAAGAGAATGGGTTTTATATTATGCTTGAATACATATGGAAGAGAGACATTTGATAAGATAATAAACAAAGCCTGTCTACCCTTGGGGATGTTCCCCTCATATGCCTGGGGATATATGACCTTTCTATAAACCAAGTCCTGCTGAACAAACAATTACCAAGTATCTGTTATCGCTCTATTGGCATGTAGCAAGTTAATAGAATCAGTACTACCAGATACTTCTGTTTCTGTTCCCAGTTCATTGTTGAATCTACTGAGTACCGTCTGTTCCAGCACTATTTGCCTTCTCAGTAAGGGAGGTTGATATAACCGAAAGAGATCAGTGTGTTTCTGCTTTATATTGTATCACTTTTCAGTGCTGTAGCAGCTGCAAATGTTACATTCTGTAAGCACATAGGAGTCCTGCAAGTATCCTGTTGGTTCTATTATAAGTTTACTTTTCAAGATGATCTATTGTTGTCATATTTAGTTATACATCACTTTGTAGTTGTACTAGCTCTGCAACAGTTGGCAACAGTTTTCCAGTTACCAGCTGCAGTCCGAGTTGGAAAAATACTACTATAATGTCAATTCACAAAAGTGTATTGTATAGTTAACAGTTTCCATTATCGCGCATTATCTTTTAAAACTTCCCAGTCACTGGGAAAACGTTTGCACTAAAAGTGCCCTGTAAAAGAAGAAGAGGAGTGTTTGCCACACTGGCAAGTGGCAGCTCCAATCTTCTATCTTTTGCAGTGCTAAAGCTGATGCTGATATCTGACATTTCCAGGAATGTTGGATGCCGTAGGGCTGATTTACTAAAGGCAAATAGGCTGTTGACGTAGCAAGGGAAATTGCACTTTGCAAGGAGAATTTCCCTTAGCTTAGTGAATGAGGTGAAGCTCTTCTAACTGCCAACATCCAATCATATGCAAGCAAAATAACACTGTTTTTTTTTTTTTTCCATTTTCCTTGCACATTCTCTCCAAAGTGAATTTTCACCACATCTACTAAGTTAAAGCGATAGTAAAGGCTCCGTTATATTTTTAAAAATAGCAAACATGTCATAATTACCTATATTGCTAACAGGACAGCGCTGCAAATGACACAATATATGATACTCTAGAAATCCAGGGCAGATGCTAAAACCTTGCAAATCCTCTATGTATTCTAGGGTTCTCACATAGAATACAGTTCTCATAAAAATATGTTCAATAATCAAATACGATGAAAGTCTTTGTCAGCTTTTATAGAGAGAATCCCTTCCTGTGCTCAAGATAACATTAAATGGAATCACCACTAGTGAGGAACCATCACCTCCAGCCTTCACCTGATGGATAGACCTATAAGTATAAAGGGGCAGGAACTGCATGCAGAAGATTTTTTGCCTTTGTGCATAGAATGCATGAAGGTAAAAAAAATCTTCTACTGTTACAACCACTTTAAGGTAAAAGTTACTTGCAAAGTGATAATTCCTTTGCAAAGTGAACAGCGTATTTGCAAATCAACCCCTTTGCTACTGTGCTGTGGCTCCATCTGCTGCCCTCTATAGTATGTCACTACAGGGCACAGTAATGTCATAGGGGACAGGGCACAGAACAGTAGAGCGCAGCTGTGCAAGATACTGGCTATACCTGTACCTCCTAAAAAAGAGGGAAGATTGGAAGTACCTGTCTTCTTGTTTTACAAGCTCTATTTAGTGCAGTTGTTTTTCTAGCAACAAGGTCACTTTTTTTGCAGTCTGTAGCCCCATAGGGGAAAATTCCTTTTATTTCTGGTCACCCGGACAGTATTGCCAACATCTGAGAAAGTGAAGGGAAAACAGCAACGGGGACACAGTTAACAACAAAAAGCTTACAAAGTATCTAACCTTTCCACACTGTGCTAAATTCTTCTCCCTAAGATTGATATCACATGAATATCTTGTTGCTAGTGACAACGTGCTAGTGACAGGATTGCTAAAAGACCACGTACATTTTGCTATGGTGTTGTTCTGGCCCACCAGTGTGATGTAGCTTTATTTACCACTCCCTTGTTATCAAGATCTATTTTGCAAAAAATGTTCTAACCTTTACAAGTCATGAGTGATTCAGTTCTGTATTGTCTACTACTTAGCAATTGATTTTGTGCCACAGTAAAAATCTGTTGTCTTGTGCTGTGTGTGCTTTTTAAGAATACTTGGAAAATATTAAACAAAGTGATTAATAAATGAACACTGGTATTTTATTATAAAGACAGAGAAGGAAAGAACATGTACTGCGTGTCATTTAGATAGGGAACATTGAATGAGCGACACTGTCCTTGTGTGCCATTTAGATGGGGAATATTGAATGAGCTGACACTGCCATCTAATGGTGTCTTCAAAGCATGCAAGTGTTGGATTTATGGTATACTAGGACATTAGCAAATTCTCACAGCACTCTCCTTTTGTTTTAGAAATTGTAGAATTCATTTTAAACTGACTTTCTTAATATGACCTATGTAATAGTAAAAAAAAAAAATAATATTAACAGAAAAATTCTGGCTAAGGAACATATAATGTAATTAAATGTATCTGACGTGTTCCATACAGCTTTGTTGCCAAGGTCCCAGGGATTTGGCAAGAGGCTTAATTAACTTATTGTAAAAAGTAATTTCTGCTGCAGTTGGGAGCTAGTGATCTCACAGAACACAGAGAGCACTAATGAGATGCCATAGAAATTAGAACTTGCTGATCAAAGGGCAAACTTTAATTCCATTTTAAAGTGGTCTTCTAGTGATGGTGTTTTTAAAATCGTAGACATAAATTAACAGAGGTTTCCAATGTTTTGTCTCTAATTGGCCTTTTCAAGAAAAAGCACAAAACTTATGGATGATCATTTCAAGCAGGACATGTATGTGTTGCTATAACAGTCATTCTACTTGAGGAAATATGATCATTCCAGAGTGATCAAGCCATTTTGTCACCTGTCCTGACATGTTTATTCACTGTTCAGTGGATGACAAGAGATGCTGCAAAGGATAATATGTCACTTGCTTTTTGCAGGACTAACAACAGGGACCAAAGAACAATCGCAATACATATCCACCTTCCCTCGCTTAGATTGTATCCTACACTTTCTGAGTGTTTTATGTAAATTATTTTTGTGTGTATGCCATAATATGCCAGTAATAAACAGTGATTAGCTCATGTTATCAACAGCTAATGGAAATGCTGTTGTAATTGTCAGAACTCCTTTATATTACTGCACATATATTTTTCCAGATTTGTTTTTGTGATAACATTGTCACCAGGACAGGAAGTGAGAAAAAATTCTCCAACAAGGACACATGACCAATACAAATATTTTTAGAGGGGACCGAATAGAGTAATAATTAGCACAAGGACATTGTCAATTTCCCTGATGGAGATTTCATGTCATATCCTAAGGCCATTATTGTTAGAAGGAATGGAAGCAGGGGAAATCCACAAGGGAAGTAGGAAGCAGTAAAAACTTGACAAAAATTGCAACCCTTTTCCACTACAAAAAATAAAACTATTCCTTTATTAAAACAATTTTTATGATTGACTGCTTATTAGATTGTAAGCTCTAAGGAGCAGGGCCCTACTAACTCTTTTGTATTGAATTGTATTGTAACTGCTCTGTAAAACACTGCTCAAGCGCTGTAGGCAGTATATAAATCCTGTATAATAAAATAATAATAATAATAATTCAACAATATAATACATTGATCTAACATTTTCATATTTCATATTTTCTAGTTTATCCCCATGCCTGTCCTGTATGGTGTCTTCTTATACATGGGGGTGGCTTCACTTAATGGAGTACAGGTATGTCATTAGTCGTATATTAAAAACTAGTGTCCACTGCTGACACTATCGGTACAGAACAGTCTAGCACAGGGTGTATTGTTCAGGTTTATTGACTTCCCTCAAATTAGGAGTCTCTCATGCCCAAATTGGCCATAAGAAATTGTTTGACTACCTACAGTATTTCATTAGTGGCCACCTGTGTCCATATGTTATGGCTAGACCTAGCTGCATCAACATACAAAAAGCTGATGCTAATGAGGTTGCAGCCAAGGAAACTTCTTTGTTCCCCAAATGCAATTCTTAAGCAATATGCATAGTTGCCTTTCTTCCCTTGAGACTACAGCACAAAGTAAATTGACTGGAGAGCAAATTTCTTATTAAATTCTTAAAACAAAGATTCCATCCAACTCTTTAAACACATTATTTGTTCCTGTCAAGAACTGGATGAAACATGACTTCCTGATGTACTAAATGCATGGAATGACTTCTGAGGGACACAAAACCTAAGAAATATCTTGTTTATTGAGTCCTATAGGTAAACAGAAGCTCTTTGTTTTATAACACCTAAACAATAATGGCTTGAGCATTAAGATAGTATACCCCACAGCACTTTTAATATGAGTGGCATATTATAATGATAATGTCCAGGGTGCAGTTACTCTTTAAGTTTGCTTAAAGCTTAATTATCAATATTGTACTAGGTATGCAATTAAATCAGAAAAATTGTACTTACAATAAAATTAAATCACTAGTAGCAACCCCTGAATTTCACAGCCATTATGTTTCTTAACTTTCACTTCCAAGCTCTTCAAATCATTAAATGAATTGCAATTTAATGTTCAAAGGTGTAGAAGACTTGATCTCTACAGAGGTCAGGGAAACTTTTCTTCATTTCTTTCTTCGTGAAAGCATATATTTTTTGGTAGAGGTGAGAAAACTTGTATGTGCAACTGTCAGAAAAAGAAAGTTAACACATTACAAGTCTGTCAGAAAGACATCGGGTTATACTGATGTGGCCATTAAAGAAAAAATATCGAGAGCTGGGTAGCATTCTTACCATTTTAGTCATGTGAAGCCAACAGTGCTCTGTACTATTCTGACTTCCATCCCTTGCACAGAGGTTCATTTTTTTTAACATTCTTTTGCGTTTTTCTCTCCATTTACTGTAGTTCATGGACCGCCTGAAGTTGCTTTTGATGCCAGCCAAGCACCAGCCAGACTTCATTTATTTACGGCATGTTCCTCTACGCAGGGTGCATCTCTTCACTTTCATTCAGATCTTATGTCTGGCACTGCTTTGGATCCTAAAATCCACAGTGGCAGCTATTATATTCCCAGTAATGGTGAGTTTATATGAAAGATATAACTTTAAGGCATCAAAGTGTATCAAACTGCATGGCTGGTTTCTTTGAATCCTTAGTTTAAATAAATCTTTAGTGTTTTTAGATAGAGAAGAATTTCGTTTTGAGCATGTGAGTTCTCATAAATGTTATGTTACTCTATTTATGTGGTTGTGAATGCAGCCAAAATGACTTATTTAGCTACAAGTGGAGTAGTCTAGAATTCCAATTAGATTTATGGGCCACCATCTTTGTTTTATGGATCAAAGAGAATCAAGCAATATATCAATTGCCCCATGTTAACTCCACCTTAGCAATAAAATACTGATACTGTGTAACTGCTTTGCATTGACTGACATATACTAAACTAATGTCTTCAGGCCACAGATAATGTCTAGGTATGTTCATTTAGCCATTTGTAAGGTTTTCTTTTTGTCCCCTGAAGCCTAAATTCACCATTTTCACATTTTCTGTCAGTAACATATTTGATACTAATGAGCCTGCTGAGAGCATTTTAGCAGATAGGAAGCGAGGTTCAAATGGCTTTGTTTAGAATGCTGAATATGTTTATCAAAGTAATGTCCTCAATTCAAATGAGTGTTGGGGACATACCTCAGTATTTATAACCACATGGGCAACTGAGTCCAGTCACTATGGTGACAACAAATGTGTCAAGATGTCATTGTCCTATGGCAGGAGGTGTAGCTACTATTACCTATACCATGACTTGGATAAAGGTAAACCTTCACAGACATACTTAAGGGTTTTAATCGTTCTGCTATAAAGTGTTTACATTGTTTTTAGCACTGTCCATGACTCTTTGGGGAAGGTACACTTCATTTCTTGTCCAACGATGCACTATCTCTTTAATTATCTACATTTACTTGTGTTTTTGCAGATCCTTGCCCTTGTAGCAGTAAGGAAGGCTATGGACTACCTCTTCTCCCAGCATGACCTTAGCTTCCTCGATGATGTCATCCCTGAGAAAGACAAGAAGAAGAAAGAGGATGAGAAGAAAAAAAAGAAGAAGAAGGGAAGTGTGGACAGTGACAATGATGATGTAAGATATTAGCAACATTCCTAACAACAGCTCATGATGGTTACATTTGTGTTCTCTATCAGCCTTATCTGATATATACATTTTTTTCTGATGGTGTTTTTGAATTATGTGTTTTAATTTCTTTATACCTTTATATATTTCCAGTGTATGATGCATTTCTGGGTGGGATTACTGAACAATCTTGTGATATAAGTTTGCTCCAAGGAAGAAACTTTTCAATTTAATGGAATGGTCAGGACTGAGCGTTAGTCCCACCAGCTCAGTGGCAGGCCCTTAGATATTCTGTATTCATCAGTAATGCCTTGGTTCCCACTGTTTATCCTTTAGTAATATAGGTTACTCAATCTAAGTGAGAAAAAAGCAGAATGGAATCCCGGGAGGAATAATAAAGCAATATTCTTCTAAACATAGCCAGAACATGTTAAGTTCCATCAATAATCAGTAAACAAGCACCTTACTGAATAAAAGATATGCCTGTATGGAAAACCAAATAAGTGTTTAAAATATATAAAATGGTGTTTATTTTCCTAGTTTTGATGATAGCATCACTATAAATACGCAGTTGTTGTCATTTATTGGTTAAATTTTATAGAGGTTACCTGTTTTTGCTGCTTAATCGCTGTGTAATGGTACATCCATTTGTCCACTGGTTAATAGGCATTGTATGCTTAATACAGCTTGAACAGTTCACCTTTTTTTCACCCTCTCAGGAAGTATAGAAAGTTCTGCCACAGTCCATTACAATGCACATGTTACCCATTCTAAAATCCAGAATGACAATGTCAACTGTTTGGATGATTATGAGCTCTGAAATGGCATTTTGATGCCTTGTATTCTAATCCCAGCTTAACATTTAAGCTTTGTATGTGTGTCTGTCCATGGTCAGGCATGAGAACTAATCTTAATGTTTGCATCTAAGTAATGAACTCTAGCTTGCTAATAAAAGTATTAAATGGGATAATCTAACTTAATGGATGTGGCATAGATTTTTTCAGATTTATACATACTTTTATGATCTTAAATGTAATCAACTTTGCTACAGGCACATTCGTTTTCGTTACTGCGCAAATAGGATGATATCTAAAATAATGGCAATGGGCAGAGAGTTTATGAAAGTCTTTGTAATCCTAGTGTGCTGTGTGCTTAATTCACTTTCATTGTGGACAGTCAGCAATACATTATAGAGCTCTCCTGAGGCATAATGCTAGGCACTTGAAAGCTTTACTGGCAAAATAATGTCTTTTAGGTACTCATTTGCCATATACTTAGGATATAGTTGAGTTAAATAGCTGTTTGATGATTATAATTTAGCAAAATAGATTTTTTAATTACGTTTTGTATGATTTCATAGTAATCATACACTGGGATATTATTATTAGTAGTAGTACTATATAATATATAGGATTTAGCTCCAATAGTTTGTACAGCATTTTACAAAATTAGGGGAGACAGTACATTTAAAATACAATCCAACACAAGAGGCTTCATAAGGTCCTGCTTGTGAGAGGTTATAATCTAATAGGAGAGGCAAGTGATAGAAAAAAGTAATAATTATATGGGGATGAGTTGATGGAGAAATTAAAAATGAAGTTGTTAGGTAGAGGTGGTATAGTTTTTCCAGATGAAATGAGTTTTAAAGCATGCACCTAAAGGCAGACAGTAGGAGATAGCCCAATGGTTCTTGTAGGGTGTTTCAGATGAAGGGCCAAGCCCTGGATAACATCCTGGAATCGAGCTTGGGAGGAAGTGACAAGGGGACTAGAGAGCAGGAGGTCTTGGGAGGCTCAACTTTGTTGATAGTTTGTGATGAGGCTAATGATGTAGCTTAGAGCAGAGTTGTGGATGGCTTGGTATGTTGTAGTTACAGTATTATTTTGGACCTTATGTGCTGGACGAGCAAAAGCCAGTGGAGGGCTTGACAGAGGGAGTAGACAGACAGTGAGCATAATGAGAGTAAGGTGGGTGAGTCTAGCAGAAGTATTCATGATAGACTGAAGGGGGAATAGCCTATTGGTTAACAATTAGGTAGTTGCAATAGCTGAGCAGAAAGATAACAAGGTAGTGACATAGAAGTGTTGTCTAGTCAAAGGGTTGAATTTTGGAAAGGTTGAGGACACAAAGGTAAAAATATTTGAACAGTGATTGGTTGTAGGGCTAAAAAGAGAAAACAGAGTCCAGGATTGCTCCTAGCACCCTGGTTTGAATGAAGTGATTGCTTGCAGTGCTGTTGCTTTCAGTCTCTCAATGGAGACATGGGAGGAGGAAATATTGGGAGCTCAGTTTTGGAAACATTGAGTTTGAGAAAATGGTGTGCCATACATGTAGATATGTCAGTAGTGATTCATGAGGAAATTAATGGTGTGGCTCCGTGGTTGTGAATTATGGGGGGGGGGGGGGGGGGTGACCAGTGAATGTTTGAGGGGCGGGGGGGCATGCGGAACATGCCAGTAGAGAGGGAGAGTATGAGAATGTGAGTTAGAGAGCATAGACTAGAGCAAGAAGGTGAATGCAGTAGCTGTAAAGAATATGGCCCCAGGGCCTCAGACAGATGCAAATCCATCTAATCTGTGGTAAGAGAATCAATTGAGGAAAATGTTGAATGCTTTGGTGGACATGGTATGTTAGTTGGGGAAGATACAGTATCCGGACAGTGGAGAGCACATCACAAATTGCATCAGTTTTGTTTTTAAAATGATCTTGTGATTTAGAGGTAGTGGTGAAGGCAGTGGGAGGTGAAATAGAGAATTAAAGGTAGAAAAGGTTTGGTGAGGATTGGATGAGAGATTGTTGATGAGAGTGGTAAAATAAGTCTGCACAGAGGTAGGAACTGTATTTTTGGAGTACATATTTCTATAGGGTAAAGTCTTGCACTGATTTGGTTGTACTCCATAGTCGCTTAAGAAAATGACAATATCTTGAGATTTCTGGTGTCTGGCTGTAGAGATCAGGGTCTAATTCTGTGTGGGGTGACAGAGGAAAATATTTCCAGAGATGATGAGAGCAAGCTGTTGTAGACAGAAATGGTAAGGTCAGGGCAGGACGGACAGAGCTGAGATTTTTCCGTAGTCTGTTGCAATGCAGAGAAGAGCAGGGTTAAAGTGACAACAGTTTCTATGGGTAACTGTTTGCTGTGGGTGTACGGATAAGGGGTTAACAGTAGGGAGACTGATAAACAGATGAGGCTGTGGTCAGAAAAATGAAAAAGGGTGATACAAAGGGTGCAGAGGTGGGAGAATACATGGTCAAGGTCAAGGATGTTCTCATCAGAGTAAGAAGTGTGTTTTCATTGTGTTAGGCCAAAAAACAATGTTAGGTTGAGGAGTTGAGAGGTAGCTGGGGAGCTAACGTTAATATGGATGTTAAAAATCACCAAGAATAATAAAGGGTATCTCAGAGGAAAGAAAATAGGGTAGCTAGGCAGAGAAATCATCAAGGAAGCTTGCATCTTTAAAACATGTCGAATGTATGTATAGAATTTTCATGTAATGTACATATATGTCCTATAATGGTGTGCCTTAAAGTGCTTCTATAGGCACAGTGTTAGTTTTTTTTAAAATAGCAAACATGTTATACTTACCTGCTCTATGCAATGGTTTAACTCAGAGCATCCCTGATCCTCCTCTTCTCGGGTCCCCGAGCTACCAAAGCTGCTTGCTATGGGGGCACTTGTACATGCTCGCTCCTGAGCCACACTAAGTGCGGCTCAGCCCCACCCCCTTTCTCTCCTCACTGGCTGTGATTGACAGCAGCTGGAGCCAAGGCTCCTGCTGCTGCCTCTCTGACCACTGAGGAAAGAGAGAGCCACTGCTCTCATGCACATCAGTGGATCTAGATAAAGCTTAGGTAAGTATTCGGGGGAGGGAGAGACTGCATGCAGAAGGTTTTTTACCTTACTGCATAGCATGCATTAAGGTAAAAAACCTTTTGCCTTTAGAACTACTTTAACCACTTTCCTACCGGGCACTTATACCCCCTTCCTGCCCGGGCCAATTTTCAGCTTTTAGCGCTGTCGCACTTTGAATGCTAATTGCGTGGTCATGCAACACTGTACCCATATGAACATTTTTTTCACACAAATAGAGCTTTATTTTGGTGGTATTTAATCACTGCTGGGTGTTTTATTTTTTGTGCTATAAAGAAAAAAAGAGCAAAAAAGTTTTTCTTTGTTTCTGTTATAACATTTTACAAACATGTAATTTTTCTCCTTCACTGATGTGCGTTGATGAGGCAGCACTGATGGGCACTGATTGGTGGCACTGATGGGCACTAATAGGCGGCATTGATGGGCACTGATAGGCAGCACTGATAGGCTGCACTGATGAGCTGGCACTGATGATGTGGCACTGATGATGCTGCACTGATATGCAACAGTGATGGGCACTGATAGGTAGCATTGATGGCCACTGATAGGCAGCACTGATAGGTGGCACTGAAGGGTGTCACTGACTGACGGCACTGCTGTGCACTGACTGACGGCACTGATGGGTGGCACTGATGGGCATTGGTGGGGGTGGCACTACTAGGCACTGATGGGCACAAGTAAGTGGCACTGGTGGGCGCAGGGGTCTGGCATTGCTGGGCACAGGTGGGCGGTACTGGTGGGTGGCACTGCTGGGCAATGATCATCAGTGCCCTGATGATCAGTGCTGATCCATCCTCTGACAATTGCCAGTTATCGGCAGTACTTTACTCACGCTGTGACAGCGTGAGGAAAGTGCAGCCGATAACCAGCAACTGCATTTACCGGTGATCCGCTGTGTCATTGGACAAGGCTGATCACGTGGTAAAAGGCTGATGTGATTAGCCTTTTACCACATTATGTGATCAGCTGTGTCCATAGGACACAGCAATCACGGAGATTGCTGGGTGCACGCCTCTGTGGCACATTCTGGGAGGACGTCATATGATGCCCTCCCTGAACTGGCCGGCTGCAGTGAAGCTGTCATTCGGCTATCTGCGGTTGGCAAATGGTTAAGGACGTGATCACTGAATGAAGGTTA